TTCGCTATGCTCCGATTTATATACTAGTAATATTGTATAGAAGAATAACTCAATAGTTTCATTCAACTAGCTTGCTCATTTGTTCCAAAACAAATCTCGCACATGTGCTTATGATTCCCAACTGTGTTCTAACATCCCCGGAACGAAGTGACTGCTACCGGCCACGTTTCAGAAATGTGTTGTGTTCAATAGTTGCAAGTCATTGTTATTTAGTGTTCAAAGTTAGTAACTGATCATGCATACATACTTACTGGTTATAGACACTTACTGATCAAAGTTACTTACTGGTCATAGCTACTTACTGGTCATAGATACTTAGGGTTCAGACTTACTTACTGCTCATAGTTAATTACTGGTCATAGTTAATTACTGATCTTAGTTCTATAAATCGTCCGATTGTTCCTATGTCAGCTAAATATATATATATATGTATATATAATCCACCGATTCGCTATGCTCCGATTTATATAATAGTAATATTGTATAGAAGAATAACTCAATAGTTTCATTCAACTAGCTTGCTCATTTGTTCCAAAACAAATCTCGCACATGTGCTTATGATTCCCAACTGTGTTCTAACATCCCCGGAACGAAGTGACTGCTACCGGCCACGTTTCAGATATGTTTTGTGTTCAAAAGTTGCAAGTCATTGTTTTTTAGTGTTCAAAGTCAGTAACTGATTATACATACGTACTGGTCATAGATATTAACTTATCAGTTACTTACTGGTCATAGATACTTACTGTTCAGAGTTACTTACTGCTCATAGTTACTTAGATTCTTGATCAGCATCATCAGGCGAATCTTTCTAGAAATGAAGGAGAGAACATTTTTTTTTTTGGCATTTTTTTTGTTAAAATTTTCTCAGTTAAAATTAAAAAAAATAAATACATTTCCAATTTTGTAAACTTTAAATTGAGTATGCAGATTTATTAACCTATTCAAAGATAGCATAAAACGGGCTTTCCTGTCGAAATTAATGCATTTTTGACTTAGTTATGAGTTTTTAGGTTTTGAATATTAGAATAAATTGTCATATGCAAATATCGAAATATCGACTAAAAATAAGGTATTCTAATTTGAGTCGGAAGTTCGAAACACAGTGAAGGAGTCATTTCCGACCCTATATTCCATATATATTCTTGATCAGCATAAACAGGCGAATCTTTCTAGGCATAAAGGAGAGAAACAAATTTTTGAAATTTTTTTTTCAATATTTTTCAGCCGTTTTTAGATCATTAACAATCTGAAAAATCGACAAAAATTGAAATAGCTATAAAATGAAATTTGAGTATGCAGATTTTTTAAACTATTGAAAACTAAAACAGAACAGCTTTCCGAATTGCAATTAATGCACTTTTAGCTTAGTTATGAGTTTTTAGGTTTTGAATATTAGAATAAATTTTCATATGCAAATATCAAAATATCGACTAAAAAAATGGTATTCTAATTTCAGTCGGAAGCTCGAAACACAGTGAAGGAGCTATTTCCGACCCTATATTCCATATAAATTCTTGATCAGCATAAACAGGCGAATCTTTCTAGGCATAAAGGAGAGAAACAAATTTTTGAAATTTTTTTTTCAATATTTTTCAGCCGTTTTTAGATCATTAACAAACTGAAAAATCGATAAAAATTGAAATAGTTAAAAAATGAAATTTGAGTATGCAGATTTATTAACCTATTCAAAACAAGAACAGAACAGCTTTCCAAATTGCAATTAATGCACTTTTAGCTTAGTTATGAGTTTTTAGGTTTTGAATATTAGAATAAATTGTCATATGCAAATATCGAAATATCGACTAAAAAAAATGGTATTCAAATTTCAGTCGGAAGCTCGAAACACAGTGAAGGAGCTATTTCCGACCCTATATTCCATATATATTCTTAATCAGCATAAACAGGCGAATCTTTCTAGGCATAAAGGAGGGAAACTAATTTTTGCAATTTTTTTTTCAATATTTTTTTAGCCGTTTTTTACATCATTAACATTCTGAAAAATCGACAAAAATTGAAATAGTTTAAAAACGAAATTTGAGTAGGCAGATTCATTAACCTATTCAAAACTAGAATAGAACAGCTTTCCAAATTGCAATTAATGCATTTTTAGCTTAGTTATGAGTTTTTAGGTTTTGAATTGTAGAATAAATTGTCATATGCAAATATCGAAATATCGACTAAAAAAATGGTATTCTAATTTGAGTCGGAAGCTCGAAACACAGTGAAGGAGTCATTTCCGACCCTATATTCCATATATATTCTTAATCAGGATAAACAGGCGAATCTTTCTAGGCATAAAGGATGGAAACTAATTTTTGAAATTTTTTTTCAATATTTTTTCAGCCTTTTTTCATTATTATATTTATATTTATTATATTATATTTCATCATTAACTTTCTGAAAATCGACAAAAATTGAAATAGTTTAAAAAAGAAATTTGAGTATCCAGATTTATTAACCTATTCAAAACTAGAACAGAACAGGTTTCCGAATTGCAATTAATGCACTTTTAGCTTAGTTATGAGTTTTTAGGTTTTGAATATTAGAATAAATTGTCATATGCAAATATCGAAATATCGACTAAAAAAAATGGTATTCAAATTTCAGTCGGAAGCTCGAAACACAGTGAAGGAGCTATTTCCGACCCTATATTCCATATATATTCTTAATCAGCATAAACAGGCGAATCTTTCTAGGCATAAAGGAGGGAAACTAATTTTTGCAATTTTTTTTCAATATTTTTTTAGCCGTTTTTTACATCATTAACATTCTGAAAAATCGACAAAAATTGAAATAGTTTAAAAACGAAATTTGAGTAGGCAGATTCATTAACCTATTCAAAACTAGAATAGAACAGCTTTCCAAATTGCAATTAATGCATTTTTAGCTTAGTTATGAGTTTTTAGGTTTTGAATTGTAGAATAAATTGTCATATGCAAATATCGAAATATCGACTAAAAAAATGGTATTCCAATTTGAGTCGGAAGCTCGATACACAGTGAAGGAGTCATTTCCGACCCTATATTCCATATATATTCTTGATCAGCACAGACAGGCGAATCTTTCTAGGCATAAGTGAGGGAAACTAATTTTTGAAATTTTTTTTCAATATTTTTTCAGCCGTTTTTTACATCATTAACATTCTGAAAAATCGACAAAATTGAAATAGTTTAAAAATGAAATTTGAGTATGCAGATTTATTAACCTATTCAAAACTAGAACAGGACAGCTTTTCAAATTGCAATTAATGCATTTTTAGCTTAGTTATGAGTTTTTAGGTTTTGAATTGTAGAATAAATTGTCATATGCAAATGTCGAAATATCGACTAAAAAATTTCAAATTTTGTAAATTTTAAATTTAGTATGTAGATTTACAAATCAATTGAAAACTACCACAGAACGGGCTTCCGTGTTGAAATTAATGCATTTTTGAACTAGTTATACATATATTTTAAATTTCATGAAAATCTGCAGAAAACTGGAAAATATGTAATTTTTTTTCCTATGGCAGCTATATATATGTATATATATAGTCCACCGATTCGCCATGCTCCGACTTATATACTTGAAAATTATATAGAAAAATAATTACGTAGTTTCATTCAAATAGCTTGCTTTAAATTTGTTCAAAACAAATCTCGTACATGTGCTTATGATTCCCAACTGTGTTCTAACATCCCCGGAACGAAGTGACTGCTACCGGCCACGTTTCAGAAATGTGTTGTGTTCAATAGTTGCAAGTCATTGTTATTTAGTGTTCAAAGTTAGTTACTGATCATGCATACATACTTACTGGTTATAGACACTTGCTGATCAAAGTTACTTACTGGTCATAGCTACTTACTGGTCATAGCTACTTACTGGTCATAGATAGTTAGGGTTCAGAGTTACTTACTGCTCATAGTTAATTACTGGTCATAGTTATTTACTGATCTTAGTTCTATAAATCGTCCGATTGTTCCTAGTCCACCGATTCGCCATGCTCCGATATATATACTTGTAAAATTATATAGAAAAATAATTCCATAGTTTCATTCAAATAGCTTGCTTTAAATTTGTTCAAAACAAATCTCGTACATGTGCTTATGATTCCCAACTGTGTTCTAACATCCCCGGAACGAAGTGACTGCTACCGGCCACGTTTCAGAAATGTGTTGTGTTCAAAAGTTGCAAGTCATTGTTATTCTGTGTTCAAAGTTAGTAACTGATCATACATACATACTTACTGGTCATAGCTACTTTCTGGTCATAAATACTTAGGGTTCAGATTTACTTACTGCTTAGGGTTTAGAGTTACTTACTTCTCATAGTTAATTACTGGTCATAGTTAATTACTGGTCATAGTTAATTACTGGTCATAGTTAATTACTGGTCATAGTTAATTACTGGTCATAGTTAATTACTGGTCATAGTTAATTACTGATCTTAGTTCTATAAATCGTCCGATTGTTCCTGTCAGCTATATATATATATATATATATATATATATATATAGTCCACCGATTCGCCATGCTCCGATTTATATACTTGTAAAATTATATAGAAAAATAATTCCATAGTTTCATTCAAATAGCTTGGTTTAAATTTGTTCAAAACAAATCTCGCACATGTGCTTATGATTCCCAACTGTGTTCTAACATCCCCGGAACGAAGTGACTGCTACCGGCCACGTTTCAGAAATGTGTTGTGTTCAAAAGTTGCAAGTCATTGTTTTTTAGTGTTCAAAGTCAGTAACTGATCATACATACGTACTGGTCATAGATATTAACTTATCATAGTTACTTACTGGTCATAGATACTTACTGTTCAGAGTTACTTACTGCTCATAGTTACTTAGATTCTTGATCAGCACCATCAGGCGAAAGGAGAGAAAAAATGTTCATAAATTTGTTCAAAAAATATAAAATGAATTATGAAGTTTCAAATGAATAGGAGAATATTTCTAATACGTCCAATCTTTCAGTTTATTTTCCCGAAAGCGATACATTTAATTTGTATATTTGTCTCCATTGTTGCTATTTTTAAGCGCATTCGTTATCAGAACGTGTTTATGTTATGTCGTTGTTGCGGGGGCGTTCTCCTTAAACATCCGTTCATAACTCCCTTATCAGCATTGTACTTATCCAAGGAATCCAGTACTAACGTTATCGAAGCCTCCTGGTCCACCAGTATTGGACGAGTGACCACCAGCCATCGTTGGGCAGAGCCAGGCCCAGGTCCGTCCGATCCAGCTGCTTTTGACGCCATAAAGTGGGAGAGTTGTTGCACAGGCTTCCGTTACAACGGACACAGTACGGATCATTGGCCGAGCACTCCGGCACCTCTCCGGCGCATCCGCGTACCGTATAGATGCCGTCCAGTCGACTGACCACCGTGCTGACGCATAGCTCTGTCGGCCCGGAACAGTTGCTGGTGGTCATCAGTGTGGGCAGCTCCATGGCCCCACAGTCCTCCTGATCCTGACCCTGATCCTGGGCATTGCAGCGGTAGCAGGTGCGCACGGAGAAGCGGTTGCAGGAGTCGGCATCGCGGCACAGCTGGCAGCTTTCGCCCACGGGGGAAGGTGCGAAATCTTCATCCGCGCAGCCACGTCGCAGGAAGGTATCTGCAGGCACATAAAGGGGGAAGTTTATTATGGAAGGGATCTGATAAGCATTCCAGTCCCCTGTACATAGGGTATTTGAAAGAGAACGATAGAAATGTACATGTCTTACTGAGAACTAATTGACGAGGATTTGTACAAGTCGGTGGATATGCACTAAGAACCCAATACTAGTTTATTGACTTTATTACTTCTAACTTTATTGATTCTAACCGAAGACAATATGAGGAATTAGAATGTAATGTATGGTGTAATCCTGCTAACCTTGCTCGCAGGAATAACAGGACGTGGTGCCAGCAGCACACTTTGCCGTTGGCAGATTGCGACCCGACCGACAGCCTGGATCCGCCGTGGAGTTGCACACGGCACAGGCTATGTCCTGGCAGTTGGCATTACAAAGCTCCCCGTGACACTCGCTCAGGTCGCCAGTGGGAAAGAATCCCATGGTTGTGGAGCAGCCGCGCTGCAGAACCTCTGTCTGGGTGTTGCGGTGCGTGTAGCAGTTCTCGCGGTGGCCGTACATCACCTTGTTGGTGCAGTGCGTCACCGTGATGTTGCTCAGCGAGCACTTTGGCTGATCTTCTGGCCCTGTAGCCGGGCCCTGGTCCCGCAGACAGTCCGGATTGGGTGCCAGTCGGTTGTGGGTGCACTGGAGGCAGCGAGTCTCCGTGACGGTCTTCTCCGCATTGCAGCCGTTGTAGTTGCACTTGAGGCAAACATGCGGACAGGTTGTGGGCAGATTCGTATGCTCGCAACCACGCAGCGTGTTGGACAGATGGACCACGTTGGTGTAGCACCTGTCGTCCTCCCGGTAAACCGGGCAGGGCAGCAGCAACTGCGGCCTGCTCGTCACATCGATACATTCAGCTCCGCTGCACTGGTAGCACCTCAGGCGATCCGTGGGATAGACGTGGCGATTGCACAGACTCGTGTTGCACTTGTCGCAGGGAGCGGCGCAGTAGCCATTCGGATACAAACGCCCCAGGCAGCCGCGACGCGTTAAGCCCGCCGAAATCGAAGTGACGCATTCGTCCCCAGACGTCGAGCACTCCTCCACTTCCAGTTGCTGGCCAGGACGCGTGGCGCACTCTGCGTTCTCGGCGGAGTCGCAGGCGTAGCACTCCAGGGCCGCACTCGACCCTGGTCTGGATACTATGACCAGGAGGAGGAGCGGCAGCAGCAGCAGCAGAAGCAACTTGGTGACCATCGTTTCAGTTACGGACTGCAGCCGCTGGACAAAGAACTGGCGGTGCGCTTGGTCACATTTGAGATTAGATTACCGCTGAATCTCAATTGGTTCCAACTCGACGGTCTACCCGCACTGAGATTGCTCCGGATAAGTTTTCGATTAGGCGAGGATTGGAATTGCAAGGGTTTATATACAAACCGTAATCTGGAAATTAACTTTTGTTGTTGATTAGAAGAATAACCTGTAGAGCTTTTATGCCACCAAATTTTTAATTGGCATTATTTGGCAATGCGACTATGCGACAATGCCTTGCCCTCTGTTACTTGTCCGTCCGTCCTTACAAACCTCTTGAAAGTTTGTATTCTCAATGAACAAAGTGGCGAAAAATGACTTAATCTAATCAAGTCATAGATTTACCCTCTCTCTCAGAGGGCAATTAAGTTGAATCAATTTGCCATGTCCCTTTGAAAACACGAAATTTTCACACCCCATTAAGCCAATTACATTCAATAAATTAACTAATTCATTTCAACGAGAAAATGGGTCATGAATTACGTACTAAGCAAGTGACTTAGTGTCTGGTGAAGGAACAACTTTACGGTGGCCTAAATGGGCCACCAAAATAATGCATTTACTTTGTGAATGAACTTTGATTCACTAAGTAATTGTTTACCTTATCGTCCATCGATCTAGCCATGTTTGACTGTCCATCCGTTCCCACGCAAACTAGTCCCTCAGTTTCAAGGCTATCTAAATGAAACTTTGCAGATAGTCTTTTATACACACCTCTGTATATAATTTATATTGAATTAATTATTAATGAGCGAATTACAATCTGCCAGGGTGTACAAACTTCGGTACGCCGAAGTTAGCTTTCCCTCTTGTTGCATTTTGCTGTTGCTGACGCCGTTTTGAGACACCCAAAAGCAATTCAGGGGCACCAGCCGGATACTTCTGAATACACGACATAATTGAGGACCCGCCGGATCCCAGACAGTCCTTAGCCAATCCATCTGCATCCTTTGTGCAATCTCCTCTTCATCACCCTCATCTCCTGTCCTTCGGGCCACTTAACATTGTACTCAAGCTTGTTTTGTGCCCTGCAAAATGTGGGCGGTGCCCTCTAAGGTTGTCGGTTCCGATCAATGGGGATTATAAATTATTTAGGTCTGCCCTGGGTTGGGGCAATGTCAGCGAAAAGCGGAAATACAGTATTCTAAAAGTATGTAAAGAATATTTAAACATTTTTGAATGGTCCTAACAGGCTTCATTATTTATAGTGCATACTTAAGTAAAACCTAGTGGCAGAGCTTACCAAAATATATGTGAAGTGACCAATATATGTATAATAGCATAAAGCCTTATTCTATTTTAGGGTATTTGAAGATAAACGTGCAGGCCTTCTGAGGCGGAGTGGTACGGATGCATCTTAGCCTTCTTTTATTATTCACATTTTGAACTTTCTCTGATTTTCTTCATTTCCCTTCTTTGGCTCCCATCACCAATAGGCGCAAGTTTAAGTAAACAATTCAAATTTCTAATTTAGTGTTGGGAAGTACGGAAGATTTTAAACACGCGCGATGTTGTAGGCAATATTCTCAAACTGAAAGTGCAGTGTGGCATACGGCCTGAGCTATTGGAAGGGTCATTAGTTGATTTGTAACCAGCATATAAACTTCTCTGTCCCATCATATGAATCATCGTGGAGCGAAACGTGTGCGTGGTATATGGAGTTTTTAAATTGTCTCTGCAGATACTTCCTTATGGAATATTTCCAGAAAAGAAATTCTCTCATGACATCGCAAAGGAAAACTTGAAGCTCTTTCAGCGAGCAGCTAAACTTCTATTTAGTTCGTACTGTTTGTGAATTGCAGGCAAAGCGTGAAAGGGAGAAAGAGCGAATCTAATTGAAATACTTAACTGAATAGTTCTTTCGAATCCATTTATTAATCGAGTCTTTGGGTGACTGCTTCTCTAGGCAAGATTATAATATAAGACAAGAAAAGAAGCTAACTACTAACTACTAACTAAGCCGACGTTTGCTCTTTAACATTTTTTTGTTAAAATTTGACGCTGATCATGAATATATGTATATGATTTATAGGGTCGAAAACGACTCCTTCTGACTGAAATGATAATACCCTGCTGGCGTATAACAAGCGGGAAAAAAATTCATAAAGAGTGCTAGGTATCGTAGGGCCGATAACTTTGCCTTGAAGTCCTCCCCTCGAGTGCTTTTTTTAGTTGCCACGAATTTGGGTTTGCGGTTTGGTTCTGTGTCAATGCTGTTGCTGCCTTTGTTGTCGTGTGTTTGGGGCATATGCCCCAACAATAATCAATAGGGTTACGTCACTGGATGGACTGGACTGGACTGGACTGGACTGGATGTTGTTGCTTCGGTTGCTCTGCTCGACTGCCTCGCTTGCTGGCTGGCTGGCCCACATTTCCGCATTTCCTAGACCTGGGCACAGACCTGGGTTCATTCGTTCGCTTTGTGGCGGTTTTAGGTTTCTGGTTTCCATGTTTTCAGGTTTCACTTTTTGGTTTCGCTTGGACTGAGCCAGAAATATACTAACGTTCAAGAATGACAGGGACAGGGACAGGGACATTATTGAACAGAAACGAGACGGAAAATTAAGTAATGAAAGGACACTTCTTAAATACTCATGTCAAGTCTCTGTCGGAGATTAATTAATTTTCGATTTCGATTCCGATTTCGGTCTCTATTTCCACGTTAATGGAATTACATTTGTGTTCCAATCAGTCGAACGTGTCGAAGGTAAATGAAATATAAACTTTGAATCAGAACACGTGATCCGTAGGACATAATCCGTAACCCGAATGACCCGGAGCGGCTAGGTAGTCATATTTTAACATATTTTTTACTTTTAAAGAGTTGCCACAATAAATATTTGGATTTCAGAAATTCCTATTTGATTTGCTTCAACTTAAACAATCTGGATCTAAATATACATTTAATATATAGAAAACTTACTATTCGAATTTGCAAATATGTTGACTTTTAATTTGCAGATGCCCTCAGTTTTAGGAATTTTCATATAAACTCTACATAATCAATGATGATGAGATGTTCAATTTAAGTATGCTATGAACTGAAATGAATGCTTTAAAGTGCAGGTTACTGGTTAAGAAAGTAAAGCAATTTAAAATTGAAATTGAAGTCCATTCGAGCTCCTGACCTTAATTGATGCCATCCGAGGAGGTGGCAATGGGAATGTTGATGATAATTTGAGGTTTCACATGTCACACTGACTGAAGGGAGAGCCACCCACCCACGCTGTGGGTCTCCACCATGCTGCGAATAGTTAATGAATTCTTTTCATGGAATTTAAATTGAAAAGAAACCATCGACAAATAATACAAAGCATATAAAGTTGCCGAACAATTACGGGAGAGAAGAGCGGAATTTGCATTCGCATTCGCATTCTCATTTGGCTATAAATACATGCATTTGAGATGGCTTTATACATATATTTCCCGATCTAGTCATTGTCTTTTCTGATGTTTTTTTGTTTTTTGCAATGTTTTTACTATTTGTATCAAGTAAGCTGACTGGCATTGCAAACAGGTTTCCTCCGGTCTCCATTCCCCATGTGCCATTCCTCCATCCTCCATTACGCTGGCATGTCTTGTCGTCGGATTTCTGCCATGTCGCTATGTGAGTCACGCTGGGCTCCAGAGCTGCCCAGAGTGCGTCACACGGGGGGCGATATCTGCTGCGATTTATTTATTTATTTACTCACTTGTGCGCGCGGCACGGCAAGGCACGGCACAGTTGGCAAATTGCAAACCGGAAAGAATCCGCAGCAGCAGTCGCAGAGATACCTCCGGAGTTGGGGCTGGAGGAGGAGATGGAGCTGGAGCTGCGACTGGGACTGACGCTGAGACTGAGACTGAGAGGAGAATAAGATGGGGTAGTCAGTGTGGGGTTGGTGTTTGGATACTGAGTGGCTTTGGCGCTTATCAAAGACAATTCGTTGCAATTTTATTCTTCTGCTCAACATGTTTTTGTTTTTCTGTAAAATATAGTTTTATATTTGTAGAATATACTGTGAAAGTTTTATGCTCGAACTCGAAATGTAAAAGCCTGAAATAAAGCATATACGAAAGGTATACAAGTGAAAACGTGGGTGCGTCAAAAAGTTGAAAAAAAAATTAAGTTTTAAAAAAACCCATAACTAAGCCAAAAAAGGAATCATTTTAATGCGGAAGTCTTTCCTATGCGAGTTTTCACAAGGTTAATACATCTGTATACCGAATTAAATTAATTATACTCGCTGCTTACAGTACTACTGAGCCGTATCCTTAACTTCTCTCTCTTTCTCTTCCGCGCTTTACCTGGAATGTGCAAGCAGTGGAGAACAAGAGTTTCCTCTGGCTTTCTCTTTCTCTTTGGATACAATCAAAAATACCATAGAAGCAACCGAATCTATCACGCAAGAGGACTCCGCTTTAAGTCTAAACCATTCCGAAAGACGTTATATGGGTAGGGCAAATGGACAAGCTCAAAACATACATATACATCTATACAGTTACTTTTCACTTTGAACTTTAATTAAATTAGTCTGGAAATCAGTAAGAATATGAATGGAATTTCCCTTGTTTGTTCCACTCTGGTCAGCTTCTTATCTGGTTCGCATAGTGCAGCACTCAATCCCATGGAGATCCGATACGTTGGGCACTCGAGATGTGTGGCTGCGTTGTGTTGTGGTTCCAACTTGACCCGAATCGCCCAATCGCCTTATCAGCTCCATGTCGATGTCAATGCATCCATTATCGCTCCTCGGGCTCCCCGTGTTATTATTTTCGCTTAAATTGATATGCAGTCGATGGCAACGCCTGCAATTTCCCAGAGGCGTTGACAGAGTCTCTACATTCGGTCCTTGTAAACCCTGGCCTGGTTTTGGATTTCATTCGAGCAATGCTGCCTTTCCACACTGTGCAGCTGGCACAGTTGAGCGCATTTGAGAGACGGTGCAGGCGGTGACGACCTTTTAAATAGTGACATATATAATAACAATAATAATATTCACTCTTGTTTTGTTTCAGAAATGGCGTCAGCGTGGAGGGAGCCACACACAAACAGGTCGTGGATCTGATCAAATCCGGCGGCGATTGCCTAACGCTCACGGTGATATCGGTGACACAGCAGGTGCGTTGTCCTACATATTTATGAAACTACTTGGGCAGTTATATTTTATTCTTTTGTTGGTCCCGTCCAGGAGGCCGATCGTTTGGAGCCGCAGGAGGATCAGAGCGGTTACTCCTACATTGACTACTCGGACAAGCGATCGCTGCCCATCAGGTGAGTCCTGCCAGCAAGCCCCTTCGCAAGCATTCTCACTAACCTATACCAAACGTTTCTCTGCCAATGCGTAGCATTCCCGACTACGGAATCATCAATAGGAATGGCGAGCGCTACATCGTCTTCAACATACACATGGCCGGTCGGCAACTGTGCTCGCGTCGGTACCGGGAGTTCGCCAACCTGCACTCGCTGCTGCGCAAGGAATTCTCCGGATTCAACTTTCCAAAACTACCCGGCAAGTGGCCCTTCCAGCTCAGCGAACAGCAGCTGGACACACGGCGTCGCGGCCTCGAGCAGTATCTGGAGAAGGTCTGCGCTGTCCGAGTGATTGCCGAGAGCGATGCCGTGCAGGACTTTCTCACGGACACCGAAGACGATATATCCGCCGCGCCGGTGGATATCAAGGTGATGCTGCCCGACCATGAGGTGAGCACGGTGTCGGTGAAGAAGTCCTCCAACGCCCAGGTTGTGTGGGAGATCCTAGTGCAGCGCGCCAACCTCACCGCCTACACGCAGCAATATTTCTACCTGTTCGAGATCGTCGAGTACAATTTCGAGCGGAAACTGCAGCCGCACGAGATACCACATCAGCTATACGTGCAGAACTATAGCACCGCCTCCTCTACCTGCCTGTGCGTGCGCCGATGGCTGTTCTCGGTGTCCAAGGAACTGACGCTGCCGGACGGGGAGCAAGCGGGTCGCTTTATCTTCTATCAGGCGGTGGATGAGGTGAATCGTGGGAATATCCGAGCGGATGGCCGCCTCTACGAGCTGAAGGCGCTTCAGGACGCCAAGAAGGCGGTCGATTATTTGGCCTTGGCCCGCACACTGCCCGGCTACGGGGATGTGGTCTTTCCCCACTGCTCCTGTGATAGTCGCAAGGAAGGACACGTGGTGCCCGCCGTGGGTGAGTGCAAGATCGGACTTCCTAGCTGTTAATTCAATACTAACTGAAGGGAAATCCCTTTCTGATTCCTCTTTCATACCTCTAGGCATGAAGAGCTTTCGCCTGCACGCATGCCGCGAGGATGGCTCGTTGGAGGCGCAAATGGTCGAGCTGACCTGGGACAGCATCACCCGCTCCGAGAGCGACGAGGAGTCCATGTCATTTTGCTTTCAGTACAATCGTCCAGACAAGCCGGCACGTTGGGTCAAAGTCTACACGCCATATGTGAGTTGACTTAAACTTAGCTCCAAGGGGCTCAATCAGTGGGTAACCTTATACTCACTGATAGCTCCATTATAGAATTGTGCAATTCATGTTTATATATGTTAACCCATCATCCTTACAGCATGCATTCCTTGCGGACTGCTTTGATCGGATCATGGAGGAGCGCAAGTGGGAGGACAGCGGCGACTAGGGAAGGCGCAAAGACCAGGATATGGAGAGCGGGAAAGGAAAGGAGCCGAGGAAGCGTCGGCAGGAAGCACAGTTTATTACAAAGCCATGCAGGCGGGCCGAGACTTTGCACATTTTTCGTTAGATCGGGGATTATAGCTTGGCTGGCTGGCCATATCCTCTGCCCTCTTACATACATAAATATTGTAAAGTATATCTTGATTTGTGCAGGGACGACTAGCAATGGTATTCGGCAAGGGTTAACAGCAAAGAATAAGAAATGTTTCAAATGTTTTTCGGCACTTTCTTAGCACATAAAGCAACAAAAGCAGGCACCAATTTAGATCAAGCAGAGCATGAACCGACGATTCTCATTACATACATACAGTACATATAATAAAATATATAGAGATGAATATATATATATATATACATATGTTTAAGCCAACCTCAGCGTATATTTAATTCACACCATGTTCCCCGATTTGCCCCACAATAGTCTCTGTTTTGTTCTTACAGAAAGGCAAGACAAATGTAAAAAGTCAATTTTAAACATGCATACATTATTCGATATGTAATGTATATATAATATATGTATATACACAATACATACGCATAAATGTTTACCAACAAATCGTGCACAGAACGAACTCAAAGGCGACTCAAATAGAAGAAAGCAGAGAAACAAGGGGATGTGTGGACATGGGAAAGTGTAGAAGCATAAAATCAATTTAACGATGATCATGTTGAAATTATTGTACTCATTCAAAATTGTTAGTTAAATCTAAGCATTACGTTAATAGTTATTATACAATAACGAAGGGAAAGCACTCAAAAACCAAACTCAAATTCAACTTGGACGGAGGCGGCGGCAGGGCTTCTTCACACACGACGCAAAGAGCATTAAACACACGAAAAACAAACAAAAATTAATTGAAAGCACTGCATATTTATAAAGGGAAGAATAACAAATGGCATATAGGCATATATACATAATACATTTATCAACGATGCAAGTGAAGTCTGCTTGTGATATTTACAATTTACACAATTATAATTATTAATTTAACATTATTATTACTATTATTATTATTATTATTATTTTTTAATGTATTCCACGTATGCTTTGTTAATCTCTCTCTCAATATGTGTAATGTTTATATTTTTTTGATGTTTAGTTCTTAGTCCCACATGAATTTTGGATTTCTTTTCCCCTACTTTCGCCATTTACTGTGTAATTTAGATTTGTGTGTATTCCATATATTCATTAATTTATGAATACTATAAACTATAAACTACACTATGTCGTTTCTTTATTGTTATTATTATTTTTGTTTGTTTTGTTTTTGTGCATTTCGGGAAGACAGCAAACACCAACGTAAATATACAAAAATGCTAAAACCATTCCTTAAAAGAAAGAAATCGATTAAAGATCATTATCAATGTTTTCTTACAGAGTAAATAAATAGAAAAACGAAGTAAAGCAACAAATTTAAATTAAAAGCGAATAGGAACTGGGAAAAAAACATAAACATTAAAGCGTTTAAGTGTTCAACTAAACTAAAAAAAGAACAAAAACCACAATTTAACATTTTATTGAAAAAGAAAATAAGAAAATGAAATAATATAAACAAATGCATTTTTCCCCTTTTCAAAATACTCAACGCATATATGCTGTTCTTTTGATTGAGCTTTTTAATTAGTCGACTTGTTGTTTGGCTGCAAAAAAAGAGTTTGTATAAAAAAGTGCTGAGAGTTTTCTATAAACACTATATTCATATTTGACCAGTGATAACAGAAGCCCAAATTGCCAATTGACCAACGACCACCAATCCGACCGCGGTTGTCTCCAGGCACACCACATTTCGAATTCGGGATGTGGAGCAAAAACCTGAGAATTAAGCCGCGCTAATGAATGTTTGAGATAATGCCAAATTATAACGGCGCTTTGAAGCATTCCAAATCCTAATGGCCATCCTTTGTTTACGTTTAAATTGACCAATCAAAGAATTTCTTCAAGTTCCTCTATTCTAAGATCCGTTAGTTGGGACTGAAATCATTAATGGCCGCCCTTTGTTTAAATCTGATTAGACCAATCAGAGACGATCTTCACGTTCCCATCTTTTAAGAACCGTTACTTTAGGGCTTTTACATCAGCGGGTTAGCTGCTTGCTGAATATTCTGTTTGCCTGGTGCATAAAGTCAAGTATTTGGGAAATTTGTATGGCGAATTTCGTTAATTCAGTGTGTATGTTGTTGGATTTGTTGTTATTTCTTATGAATATGGGCATTAAATCGGATTACTTTAACAATTGGTATACCAGGCAAACAGAATCGGCTGGCAGCAGCTCAGCAGCACTACACCAGCATTCCAAATCCTAATGGCCGCTCTTTGAATTGACCAATCAGAGACTTTCTTCAAGTTCGCCTCATCTAAGATCCGTTACTTAGGACTTTGAAATTAATGGCCGCCCTTTGTTTACATCTGATTAGACCAATCAGAGATAATCTTCAAGTTCATCTCTTCTAAGATCCGTTACTTAGGACTTTGAAATTAATGGCCGCCCTTTGTTTACATCTGATTAGACCAATCAGAGATGATCTTCACGTTCCATTATTTTAAGAACCGTTACTTTGGGGCTTTTGCATCAGCGGGTTAGCTGCTTGCTGAATATTCTGTTTGCCTGGGGTATAAAGTCAAGCATTTGGGAAATTTGTATGGCGAATTTCGTTAATTTAGTGTGTATGTTGTTGGATTTGTTGTTATTTCTTATGAATATGGGCATTAAATCGGATTACTTTAACAATTGGTATACCAGGCAAACAGAATCGGCTGGCAGCAGCTCAGCAGCACTACACCAGCATTCCAAATCCTAATGGCCGCTCTTTGAATTGACCAATCAGAGACTTTCTTCAAGTTCGCCTCATCTAAGATCCGTTACTTAGGACTTTGAAATTAATGGCCGCCCTTTGTTTACATCTGATTAGACCAATCAGAGATAATCTTCAAGTTCATCTCTTCTAAGATCCGTTACTTAGGACTTTGAAATTAATGGCCGCCCTTTGTTTACATCTAATTAGACCAATCAGATATGATCTTCACGTTCCCATCTTTTAAGAACCGTTACTTTGGAGCATTTGCATCAACGGAATAGCTGCTTGCTGAATGTTCTGTTTGCCTGGTGTATAAAGTCAAGTATTTGGGAAATTTGTATGGCGAATTTCGTTAATTCAGTGTGTATGTTGTTGGATTTGTTGTTATTTCTTATGAATATGGGCATTAAATCGGATTACTTTAACAATTGGTATACCAGGCAAACAGAATCGGCTGGCAGCAGCTCAGCAGCACTACACCAGCATTCCAAATCCTAATGGCCGCTCTTTGAATTGACCAATCAGAGACTTTCTTCAAGTTCGCCTCATCTAAGATCCGTTACTTAGGACTTTGAAATTAATGGCCGCCCTTTGTTTACACCTAATTAGACCAATCAGAGATAAGCTTCAAGTTCATCTCTTCTAAGATCCGTTACTTAGGACTTTGAAATTAATGGCCGCCCTTTGTTTACATCTAATTAGACCAATCAGAGATAAGCTTCAAGTTCATCTCTTCTAAGATCCGTTACTTAGGACTTTGAAATTAATGGCCGCCCTTTGTTTACATCTGATTAGACCAATCAGAGATGATCTTCACGTTCCCATCTTTTAAGAACCGTTACTTTGGAGCATTTGCATCAGCGGAATAGCTGCTTGCTGAATGTTCTGTTTGCCTGGTAGATAAAATCAAGTATTTTAGGAATTTGAATGCCGAATTGCGTTAATTCAGCTATATATGTTGTTGTTTACATTTTGAAAAATCCGTTAGAAGCAAATTTACACAAAGGACGGCCATTGTTTACGTCTGGAATGAAGCGTTGCATGCAGACTGAACAGCTAGTAATCAGCTGTTGGTCATACTGTTTCTAATTTTCTCTCGCGTTTGAATTAATTTTCACAAAGGCTGAGATCCATAATGCATAATTGAAATGCACAAATCAATTTTTTCTTTTGGTATTTTCCTCCTTTAAATTCATCGATAGTATCGATAGTAACGGCGATGTTTTTGCAGCTCTAATCAGGCCTGGCTATTTACTAGCCAGATCTAGCTGTAAGGCATGACCGACATCTGGAACATCTGGAAACCGCTTAATTTGGCATGAGCCTGTTATTTTGGCCAATTCCCAAAGTTAGTTTTTTTCTATTTTAAATAAGTTAATAGGAGGATAAGTCAAAATTTCCGTAAATCGTATGTCGGCAATGCTTTGAAAAGCAGCGGCGCCAGAGGAGGCGGCGAACAGTCGACGGGGGCTTCGCGACGTGTCAACGATTTAGAAGCGTTTTGAGTTTACAACTTAGTTTCGGCAAAGATGACGGCCACGCTGCGGTACCGTGGCGACAAGAGCAACCTGCTCGAGTTCGCTAAGAACCTGGACGCTTTCAAGAAGGTGCCGGAAAAGTACACGGAGACCACGGAGATCGGCGGGACACGTAAGCGTTGGAGCATTGAGTAACGGGTGCCACGGCTTATGTTTATTCTCTATCCATCAGTTTCCCTGCTCAGCCGCCTGTTGATCGTCTACTTGGTGTACACCGAGCTGCACTACTACTGGCACGAAACGGACATCGTCTACCAGTTCGAGCCGGACATCGCCCTGGACGAGCAGGTGCAGATGCACGTGGACATCACGGTGGCTATGCCCTGCGCCTCGCTCTCGGGCATCGATTTAATGGACGAGACGCAGCAGGACGTTTTCGCGTATGGGACGCTGCAGCGCGAGGGCGTCTGGTGGCAGATGTCCGACCACGATCGTCTTCAGTTCCAGGCCATCCAGATCCAGAATCACTACCTCCGCGAGGAGTTCCACTCGGTGGCGGATGTTCTGTTTAAGAACATCATGCGGGATCCGCATCCGATGCACGAGAGTCCGGCAACATCGTTGCATTTTCCAGCTGCTGCACCGCCGCCGGGCGCACTGCTGCCCGTCGCCCTGGACTTTCACCAGAATCCGGGCGAGCCTGAGAGCAAATTCGATGCGTGCCGTTTACACGGCACACTGGGCATTAACAAGGTGGCCGGTGTGCTGCATCTGGTGGGCGGCGCCCAACCGGTGGTGGGTCTGTTCGAGGACCATTGGATGATCGAGCTGCGCCGCATGCCGGCCAACTTCACGCATCGCATCAATCGGCTCAGCTTCGGGCAATACTCGCGGCGCATCGTTCAGCCGCTGGAGGGCGATGAGACCTTGATCCACGAAGAGGCCACCACCGTGCAGTACTTCCTGAAGGTGGTGCCCACGGAAATCCACCAGACTTTCAGCACCATCAACACGTTCCAGTACGCCGTTACGGAGAATGTGCGGAAACTAGGTGAGATGTTGTTTTCCTTTCGATGAGCTAAAATCACTCCATGAACTTGCCTAACACAGACTCGGAACGGAACTCGTATGGTTCGCCGGGCATCTACTTCAAGTACGACTGGTCGGCCCTCAAGATTGTGGTGGGGAACGACCGCGACCACCTGCTCACCTTCGCCATCCGCCTCTGCTCGATCATTTCCGGCATCATCGTAATTTCGGGTGCTATTAATGCGCTTCTCTTGGGTGTGCAGCGGCGCCTGATTCGCGTCTTTTGTCCGCAGATGTACCACAGATTGGTAAAATCCTCGCCAGCTCCGCCGGCAGTCGTGCCCTCTTCTGCCGCCCAGGCAGCGGTACCGCCGCCGCCGCCTGTCAACGAGCTGCTGCAGACGGCCAACCTTATGGCCACCGTGGATATCTCGGCTTTTCTGCCGACGGCGCAACCCAAACTTAAAGCTGGTCATTAGCCAAGTCTAGCCGAATCTCCAGGAACTCTAAAAATAAGACTAAGTTTTTTTATTCCCTCATTAATATACAAAAAAATGGCACACAAATATATTGTACATAAATATGGATAAGTTCGAGCTGTACTTCTTGGCTTAGTCGCTCCCCAAAATGCCGGTGTCGATGTTGCTCCACTTGCCGGACCGCCGGTAGCCGAACATGCTCTTCAGGATCTCCAGGCCGGACTCTACGGTGGTGCGGACGTCTCTGTCACTGCCCAGCTTGGGGTTAATCTCCACAAGATCGACGCCCTGCACTCGTTTAGTGTCCCGCAGCGCCTCCACGATGCTGATGCCCTCGCGCAAAGTCAGCCCTCCGCGCACCGCTGTTCCGGTACTGGGCGCCACGTTGCTGTCCAAAGCGTCGATGTCGAAGCTCACATGAATTTTGTTCTGCGGATCTAGAGCATCCAAAGTCATCTCAATGATCTTTGGCACTCCTACGCGGTCGATGGTCTGCGTTTAAGACAAAATACAAAGGATGGAAGGAGGTTAGCGAGGACATGCGGATCCCAGAGAATAACATGGTAAATGCTCTAATTATAACCTTACCGGGTATTACAATACCCGGATAAGCTTGTAATACTGTGAAGGTGTCATTTCCGAGCCTATAAATCATATCAACTCCTACATGCCTAAAAAAGGCTCGACTTTCACGTTCCTTCACCGCGTGACAAGCTTCAGACTAAAACTATAATACCCTGCATGGATATAACAAAGAAAGAGTTTCAAGGACTGAAGCTATAATAATTTTTTTAATAAACAGGTTATCTTAAGCTCTCTTCCATAGTTTCTGTTATTCTACAGTATTGGAAAATCTTAGCACCAAGATATTATCAAAAGAATTATTACAAATTAATTAAGTTGTTATAAAAAATCCGGAAATATGTACTAATTATTTATGCAGCTATATATTCTTTGCGGTAGCCCTCTAAAATACCTGGAAAGCATCTGTAACTTTTGAAACATTTTTAAAAATGAACTAAAAATTTATTACTGTTAAGAATATATTAAGCATTGACAAAACCTAACATCCAATTAGTTAAGAAGTTACAGTGAGTTACTGTCACTTAGTTTGGTAGCTAAATCTTTAATTAGCTGAAATAAGTAAAGGCGATCCTGGCTAAATCGAGTCGGCGGCTGATGCTGGTTAAGCCGGAGATGCCTCCCTCTGACCGCTTCGATTGTGAGCCTTCACAACTGTACAATTGCGACTCCCCTCCTAAGCGCCTAGTTTTTCCAATTTTTACGATTCCGATTCCGATCGAATTAATGAACGATAATAAATTTGCAGCTTTGGCACGCAAATCGCTCACAGGGAGGGGGCAGGAGAGCATTAGGACCATTTTTCAACGGACGTCGGCCGTCGTCGATTTTGCACGAGCCATAAATAATCCAGGACAACAAGCGGACGCGAACAAGGATGCCAACCAGGCAGGATGTGGCCGGGCACGTAATTCGTAGTTTTCCCTACTCAGTTTCCTGTGAGAACTGCTGCCACCACCGCCTGGATCTCTTTGGCTCGAAACGGATCAAATGGGAGGGAAGTCCTGTAACAGAGGCAGTGGAATGGAATGGAATGGAAGGGTGGCTGTCCGCTGTCCCTAGCAACCCCTATGAATGCCCAAGCTTACAACGCACGAGAAGGATGCAGGACTCTCCCTTGGTGTGTGTGTGTGTGTGTGAGTGTGCAATGCCCTCCGGCAGTCACGCACGATCGTCATTTGATCCTGCGCGAGGGGGAGAAACCGGAATTTCAAAATTTTTACAACAACTGCCAGCGAAACAGTACCGAAACCCGAAAAAACCGATCCATGAGTGCACGGCATTTTGGTTAAAAGGGATCTCATCGGCGTCATATCTACCTAGACTGCGCTAGGTTTTGCACACAGAGAGAAAATACTGACACCGTGTGGTAATTAATATTCCGAAATTGGTTGTGCTTAAAAGCATTAAAACAACTAATAGATATACGATATGTGATATAAGGATCGTGAACAATTTCTGTTCTATTCTCGCTAGTAAACAAAATGGAAATAATGCTTTGCTTCTCGCAGTGTACTCACATCCATCGCATAGTAGCGTATCCCGACTTTGTTAAGTATGAACGCCTCGTAGGGGTCAATGTCCCTCAGGCCGATGTAAACCAACTGATCCTTGGGCAAACTGGAATGACAAGCAGAACATGGAGCGAGATCAATAGGATGGAACATGGCTCAGTACGTGGTAATAGAGCTGGAGATGGGGCTATATCCTATAAGGGATATGCAGGTACTAACACGGACAGCTGACGTGTAAACAAATAGTCGTGGGTTCCCCTCGAAGGAGCACAAAGCCCCTAAAGTGCGGGGTGTCTTACATACTGCAATTGGTTTGTGTCTGTGTGTGTGTAAGGATAATTTCGGGATCTGTCCCCTTTGTATCCTTAAAAAGAAATGAAAAAGTGTGCCAAAGGAACCTCAAGTTTCTCGAGATAATTTTCACTCCCTTTATGAGGGAATATACGTGCAAGGGGTACTCAATTCTCCACTGATCAGTGCACAAATTTCTCTTCCTTACTTCCTTCCCCCTCTTTAAAAGTTAAACTATAAGCACAATAAATATATTGATCTATATTCCACACTCTACGCCCTTATTTAAACCGAATGCTCTCCATAACCCAAAAAATTCGTTTATTTTTATCCTTCAACTTTTCTCTCTTTAATAACACCAAATGCCTCACGAAATGCTTCCCCTCTTGCCATTCGCAATTCGTGATCCTGATTAGTATGCCAGGTGGCAAGTCCTTGCAACTGCAACCGAATCCGATTCGGAAAATCGGTAGTGGGGGATTTTGAAAGTAGACGAGAGCAGCAGCTTGCAATGCGACAATGCTGAAAATTTCTGAAAGGGAAAACGGCAACAAAAACACAGCAACACATACAGGCGGGGAGGAGAACAATGGCAGGAGCCAGAGCAGAAGCAGCCAAAAGGACGCCGTTGCAATGGATAGGGGAAACACATGCCACGATTCAGTGCCGAATGTCCTGCGAGATCACCCCTGTATCACCGCCAACGATCGTGCATAGCTCCTGGACTGCGCCCAGAACCCAAGCCCGATGTCTTATGGTAATTTTTATGATTACTATTTAGTTTCGGGGTACAACTGCATCTGTCGATGACTGGCCGTGCTCAGCTGCGGAATCCGGATCTGGCGAGAGACTGGGAAGAGATCGGGCGGGAGGGAGGAAGGTAGCGGTGCAGTGAGACACGCCAAGTTAAAAGCACCCCAAAGATCATTATGCAAATGCGAAGGGAAAGGAGCAGGAGGAGTAGCAGCGGCGGTGCTGATGATTCTAATGGAATATCACCATAAACGAAGGTGTGTGTCATGACCAAGTTTTTCCATTCCTTTTCCTTCTTCGTGGTCTTCCCTGGCCTCTTGGCAATTTCCTCCTGTTCCTGTTCCTGCCTCCTGTATTTGGTGCACTCACGGGAAAAAAGGAAGGACGAGGACTTTCGCCTCGTAATGTTTAAGTTACTTAAGGGTGGACACAGGCATCGCAGCGAGCTGTGACGCGCTCCGGCTTCCTCCCCTCAGCCGCTGCCATGGGCCTAGGGAAAAGGAACAGGGGCAGACGACCATCCCTTGCCCTCCACTCCCATTTGTATGCCAAGCTTAGTTGTAATCCTGTGTTGTCCTACGTTTTGATGTTTTCCCAAAACCCGCTTTGTTGCACCGCCCTGTTGTTGTATCGTTCTTTTGTCATATCCCGTGGCTAAAACGGATTTGGCAACCCTTTCAATTTAAATTTCCCTTTTCCAAAAATGAGTTGCCTACTGTTTTGGGACACGCAGAAGGAGCACTTGACCCCCAAGTGCTATTTATCAGCAGAACGTCATGTGTCGAAGAAAAAAGCTGATTTCATTTTTAATGGCTTTATCAAATTATCCGATAAGGGATACGGGAGATAAAATCAAAAATCCACTTGTATATCAAATAATGGGATTGTGTGCCCGGAACGTTGTGTACTTCTTCTGATCACAATACAACCAAGCCTTTCCTTAAATAGTAATAGGCACAAACTAGCGTAAACTTTTATATCAACATTTCAATAGTTGATTTCTGTATTGTACATTCTTTAAAAATTGATTAAATATTTTGTTTAATTTATATAGTATATCCTTGCAGGTAATGACAATGTCTCTTCAAGGATCTCATAGATAGATTGCTTCTATCTAATCATCCAGATGGCAGAGGACTCCTTGGGGTGCCCATAACTTCGACCGCCACTGTTAGGTCTTTTTGCGGACTGGGATTATCATTCATATGCAGATTTCTATTGCTATCCAAACACTTGCGACGCCGATCTGTCTGAATGCAAATCCGAGTCCGAGCCCGAATTTCCGGCCCGGACAAGCTTCGCTGGTGCCGGCATGGTGGTGTCACCACCCCTCATCGCCAGAAAAACATGACGAAAACCACCCCCAATGCTACGAAAAGTGGCGTTACAATTCTCGCAATTTCACCGCCGCGGCGGCCATGTAAAATTGGAACAGAGAAGGAACAGAGCAGAAATCAGCACATGGCACGGGCACGGGAACGGGCACAGAACAGGAAGTAGCCAGGGGTGGCTCAGGCTATAGCTATAGGTATATCCTGCGTGTCGAGTGCCGAATACAAGCGCAATTAAGCACACGCACGCACGCAGGCAAGGAGAAACGAGGCAGGATTGCAGTTGAAATCGAACCGCCGCCTCTTGGAAAAGTGAGTCCTGGTTTTTGGGTTCCTTTCTCCCTTCGGCTACGGTAGGGGGTGTTGGTTGTAGTGCAGTGCTCGGAGACGAAGCATGCTACGCGGAAACCGAAGCTGAAACCACCCCAACGTCAAGCGACGGTGGTGGTGGCTTGGCTTGGCTTTACTTTGCCTAGTGCAAAATACTAAACAAACAAAAAATATACAGGAAGAAAGCTAACTTCGCGAAACCGAACTTTGTTTGGCCTTGCAGTATGAGACCGAATGGAAAATTAATCATAACTAAGCCATCCATTTTGGACAATTTTAGGGATGTAACCCCCTTATAAAATTTGAAAATAAGGCATAAAATGTTTTCTTTTATTTTATGAATTTTTCAAAATTTTATAAAATTTGGAATAAAAAAAAATTGACATTTTTTTCCCTTCCTATATACCCTTGGCGGTGAAAATGTGTTAAGTGAATAAATCAACTTTTCTTTTTCTTTTTAATCTTTCTTCTAATCTTATTATTAAAAATAATAAAATAATGAATAGATTTAACATAATCTATTGCGTTTTTTTAAATGTATCTCAACTTTTAATTCTACTCTTTGTTAGTTGGGGAAGGTCGCTGCAATTTGCCAACTCTGCAACTCTTCCTTCCCCAGTTGCTTGCTCTATCCTATTTGTCCACACTGCTGGTAATTAAACTCTCCGATTGCACTTAATTTCATTTATTATTTTAACCCTCCGACTAAACAACGATTATTCATTTGCTGAAAAAAATTATTACCTATTGGGGGTTGCAATAATACCGTTGATCAGTTAATTTTAGTTGCCGCAAATATTATTTGGTCTGTCATACAACAATAGAGAGAGAACGAGAGGAGAGTACAGTTGCTTTCTTTCAGGGGTGGAAAGGGGGTCGTAGTGGCCACACAATATTTCTTTTCGCTCAACTTAACTATTTTGATTCTTCAAAAGGATCAAAAGGACCACATATATGTACATACATACATACGATGATTGGAAAATCTCTTGAAACTCTAGGGGGATGAACATATCCTTTCTACCTACGCCCATGTCGCCCTAAGCTCTCTCGCTGCCGAGCCCTCTGCCGCCGTCACCAAAATTGAGTGGCATTTGTTTTATTTCCCCGCTGCTGAGTCGCCATGCTCTCTTTTTTCCCTGTGAAAACCAACCAACCAACAAACCAGAGATGCTACATTTGTCATGAAAAAATCTTATTTCGACGGGACAAAAGGTGAAAAATTAGCTCAACAATTTTAAATTTAAATGTCCATTTATATTTAGTTTTCAAACTTATGCATCTGTATATAACTTATATTTTATAACATATAACTATATAATTTTTTCAGCAAACAAAGGCAAGGAAATTCTAGTGGTTTCATAATTTTTTTAAATTTATTTATAAAATATGCAGAAAACGGCTAATTAAAATTTAAAAGAAAATCGCCAAAATTCACACTGTTAGCTGGTTTGGATTTTTTTCATGAGTTAACGTATAAAGAAGCTAGATTTGACGGGAGCGAAACTGGCAACACTGTCCGGCAGAGGCATCCGAGAGAATTACTCTTCATCGCTCTCCTACGCACCCTCTTTTGGTTTTGTGAGAGAGAGAGAGAGCTCTGTCAGCAGCCCTCCGCTCTGTTCGGGTCTTGGAAAAACCTATAAATACAAGTGCAAGCGAGCAATTCGAAAAAACATTTTATTTTTTCAAATTTGACCGTCCGGCCGGTACACAAGATCCTTTAATCCGATTCACTTCGTGGCGTGAGTTTTGAACAGTTTCTTCCCGCCATTTGACTTTGAAAAAGCCAGATTTGACGGGGAAAAGGCTGAATTGGTTTTCATTTACACTTTCGACATCGCTCTACGGTACTATTGTGCACTGTTAGTAACATTTGCGCACTGTTACATGTGCTATACGCTATATCCCTCTTATTTCAAATATCGTGCTCTGTGCTATTTCGCCAATTGATTTTTTTTTTTAATAGTGCAATCAATATTTATTGGAATAAAGAAAGAATTCACAGTCTGCAACAACAAAAAACGAGCGTATCTCAAACAAAACAGAAAAATGTAAGAATATCTTACGGATAGTCTCCGCTCTGACTTGTGAAACCAACAACAAAAATAACAACAGCGGCGATACCAAAAACAAATGCTATAAAGTTGAAAATTTCTGCCAAATGATTCGCGCTGCGCTGCATAATTGTGCAATTATACACATGTACATATATGTATCTTTTATATATGAGTGCCTCTACCAATGTATTTTCTTTTTGTTTTTTTTTTCGTCTGCTCGCCATACTTGCTTGTGGGTGTGCGTGCGCTTGTGTGTGTGTTCGATGGAAGTTTTATTCTCAAACACAAATATAAATGAAAAACAATATGCAATTTAGCGCTTAACAGCGCTAAGTGAAGGGGCGGGGGTGCTGAAAAAAATCTAGCAATCCTAAAGGAAATTGGGGCGTCGGTTGGGGGGGTCCTGGACAGGAAAAATAGTAGTAGAGTTCAAAAATCTACTGCTAAAGCGACGCCGTCGTTACCGTCTCTGTGCTGTGTATCTGTAATCGCTGGCTCTCCGTCTATGTGTGTTGTGTGTGTGTATGTGCGATGGTGAGAGAGGGAACTGAGCTAGTCAAGAGCGCGAGTGGCAAAAAGGGCGCAGCTAACATATCGATTTTATGTGCAAGGAGCATTGTACGCAGCCATCAACAAAAACGAGAACAGTTATCCCATAGAAGTAGACACATTTAGCAAGGCGACAACGAGAGAACGGTATGGCTGTGAGAGTGAGAGAGTAAGGGGGTGGCAGAAATTTGCAGTAAACAAAACGCCGGTTGCCATAAAAAGCAAACACACACCATCGCAAGCAGAGAACACACAAGCACTCAGTCGCAGTAAAAGTAGTAACACAATTGTATGAAATAACGCGCGGAAATAAGAATTAGGACAGTTCCAAAAGACCCCGCCGCAAAACATATACTCTATCCGCATGTCTCTTCAAAAACATTTTTTGAAATTAGAACAAGAACCAGCAGCAAAAAAAAAAAACAGCGCGTGTTTAGTTCCAACAATAACGAGAATAACAACAACAAATACCTTATAGATACTAAGTGCCACTGTGTGTGTGTTTTCGGAGAGCCGAGAGTATGTAGATTTCTGTGCGTGTTTTAAACAAAATTAAATACATAAGCAACTCCTATACGTGTGTGAAAATCTATGTACATTATACATACGTAGCAGCTGAGGCAGCCATACAATGTATTGGAAGGGAAAGGAGTGTGAGAGTCTCCACTTGCCGCCCTCCCACCGCTCTCCGACAATGTTGCCACCCGTTGACCAACAAAAATAATATACAAATCAGTGTAGTCCGAAGCAAAGAGAGAGAGAGAGAGAGAGAGAGAGAGTTAATAGAAGCAGATACTGTTATAATGAACATTTGGCTTTGGGGATTCAATATAAGGCAAACATATCAGCCATTCGCACACAATACCATTGTATAACAAACAAAAACAAAATGTTTCTGCTACGTTAATTATATTTATGTTTTATTTATGCCAGTGAAATATAAATGATGAACGCTGAAGGGGGGAAATCGATAAAATCGATTTACGATAACAAGCACAAGTAAAAAAGAAAATCCCGCACACTTTCAAACTAATAACCCTCTCATAACAACAAGAACTAAAAGTAACAACTAGCACATTGACTGATCGTTTCTTTGTTTTGTTTTTATATTGATATGGTTTCCATCAGACGGCAGCGACGCCATCGTCTAGTTATTAACAAAAAAGATTGCAATTACCAACAAAAACAACGCCGATAAGCGAGAACTTAAGTCCTGGACCACCGGCGAGTGTGAGAAAGAGCGATAGCGAGAGCGCGAAAGTGTATGAGGATAGCGCCGTGAGAGCGTGTGCGCAAGGAATCCAAGGAGTCCGCCCAAAAAGGATATAAAGCGAGAGAAAGGACGACTAGACCATTAATTCATTTCGTTTGGAAACCAAACGCAATCAACAACCCAACTACTACAAAACACGGTCGCTGTTAACCAAAACAAGTGAGTATTTGAAGACGAACCATTTTCAGCCATAAGGGAATGTAACTGAGATCATGCGAGCAGGATGCGGTGAGTTGCTCTTTAAGGGTGGGGTGTCTCGCGGTTGCCATGGCAATAGTTGAATCAGCGAGACCACTGTCTCTTGCGTGGGTGGGTGTAAGTTTCTGGGCGAGTTGGTGGGATAGATGATGCGTGTGTGTGTTTGTCTGACCTTTTGACTCTGTCGGCTGTACAGGGGAAAGGCTCGAATTGGTCAAGCGAGCAACGGAACAACAGTGTCACTTGACTAATACGAACGAAGCAAAGCGAAAATAATGAAGTTATAAATGGGGCTAGCTGCATAAACTAGTCGCTGTTCATTTACTCTACTTAAAGGACATATCCGAAACTAAATTGTAATTTCTTTGTTCTTCAGTCGCTTCTGTATATATATAATTTAAAAAGGCGAAGCCTGTTCTAATCAAATATTTTGTTGGCCTAATAATGTGATTTGTTAACAATATTTCCCTATAACTTAATAAAGTATACACTTCCCCTAGTGCGACCTACAGAAATTTAGACCGGTCCTTCGAATTGCTCTTGCTATTCAGCTCTCATTGAAAAGCTACACTGGGGCCATGCTAATCGCTTAGATTGCTCTGTGACGATCATCACTTGGGTTTAGCCCTTGGTCTCTGTCGCACTAGTTCATTGAACCGAGCCAAACATCCGTTGGCTGTCTCGAGCAACAGCTCTCTCTCTCTGTCCCTCCCCCGCTGCCTTTGCGCTGCTGCCTTACAGCACTGCCAGACACGAAAGAGGAGCAGCACTGCCGCCGCTATGTAAACGGCGACCAAGCTTAGGGGGTGGCAGTGCTGCGCGTTTAACCCTTAAGCGCCCTTCGACCGCCGAGTTTATGCATTTTCGCAAAACAAAATATTTCAACTTCTTTGACTAAGGGTGGGTCTCATGCCTGCTGCTCATTTTTTGTGTTGTCCCAAGGGGTGCGAGTCGATTTCTCGTATATCCTGGCTGGCCGCCCCCTGTTAACCCTCCTGATGCCGTCGCATTACATAACTGGGCGGGGTGTATATGCACACACATACAAATACGTACGCAGAGAGCTGTAACAGTTTGCCGAAAAGAAGTGCGAGAAGGCGGATGTATGGAGTGGGAGAGAGAGACAGCAAGAGCAAGAGCAAGAGCAAAAGAGCGGCTACAACGAGAAGCCCGACGGAAAGGTCCTGCGCTCGCCTCAGAAGCATCGTGTGCCTGGGACGCAGCGGATCTGGTCTCGCCATCATCGTACGCTCTGTAAATTTAAACCAAACCAAAATAATCGCTACAAAAGTAAACGAAACTACATAAATCAGTGAAACACAACGCAGAAGCGGCAAATCTAGTAAAGTTCAGTTCATCAGTTCGCCGAGGTGTGTGCTCGTGTGTGGGTGTATTTGTTCCTGTGCCGGCGTGTGTGTGTCTGTGTCTGTTTTGCGAGCTTTGATTGTGTCTGTGGGTGTGTCTGTGGGCGAGGCGAGGCAGTTAAAGTGGGAGTGAGAGCGGGTAATAGCACTTGAGTGAGACAAACCCAAGTGGGCCGCTGGGCGGCGCCAGTGAGCAAAGCTCCTTGACCAACCGTTAACCCAAAAAGGAGAGCGAACAGGGTTGCCAGCTAGTTCTCAGGTTGAGTCCTTTTAAACACCCGTAAAGCTTACTACAAATCAGAAAGGAAACCGTCCTCGGGAAGCCGAAGTTCGTATACCCTTGGAGTCTGCATTTGGTCTATAGGATTGAATCGGAAATCGATCATAACAAAGATTGAAATGTTCGCTTTCATTTAATTGATTGGCCGATCAAAAATTTATATGTTATATAGGGTCGGAAATGACTTCTTTAAGCATTATAATCTTCTAGCTAAAATTATTATACCCTGCTAGGGTATAAAAACTACAAATACATATGTACATATATCTATTGCTGTATCTTTTGGTAAAACCAACTCTATTCGTATATACTGTTTCACAGCACTGTACTTCCGATTGGTTTATAGCACAAAAAAATGTGTACATTAACTGCATAAGAATTACATTTTTTGGGATAAGAATCCTGAACCTGATTCCCTGATCCTCCCTAATCCTCTCATAGAGAGAATAACTAGCAGATGAGCCAAACTAACCAACTAACCAGGCTCCATCTGTAGACACTTACTACTAACACATCATGCAAATGGTTTAATCTTGACATTTAACTATTTTTTTCATGCGCCTGCCCCTGCGTTGGTCCTCGTCGTGTCACCCAACTCAACTCAACACCCATCGCAACACCACCTCCAACTCCTACTCTAACAACAACTCGAATCCAATCCAGTGGACTTTATGATGGCAAACACCGGAGCCGGCGGCGGAGTGGACACACAGGCGCAGCTGATGCAGAGCGCAGCGGCTGCCGCGGCAGTGGCGGCAACCAATGCGGCCGCCGCCCCCGTACAGAATGCGGCCGCCGTGGCCGCGGCTGCCCAGTTGCAGCAGCAGCAGCAACAAGTTCAGCAGGCAATTCTGCAGGTGCAGCAACAGCAGACACAGCAGGCGGTGGCCGCTGCGGCGGCGGCCGTTACCCAGCAGCTCCAGCAGCAGCAGCAGGCGGTGGCCGCCCAGCAGCAGCAACAGCAGCAGGCGCAACAACAGCAACAGCAGCAGCAGGCAGCAGCGGCGGTGGTGCAACAGCAGGCAGCAGCGGCAGCAGTGGTGCAGCAGCAGGCGGCCGCAGTCCAGCAGGCCGTGGTGCCTCAGCCGCAACAGGCACAGCCCAATACTAACGGCAATGCCGGAGTCGGCGGCGCCCAGAACGGTAGCAACGGAAGCACGGAGACCCGCACGAACTTGATCGTGAATTACTTGCCGCAAACGATGACCGAGGACGAGATCCGGTCGCTCTTCTCCAGCGTAGGCGAGATAGAGTCCGTGAAGCTGATACGCGATAAGTCGCAGGTCTACATCGATCCGCTCAATCCTCAGGCGCCCAGCAAAGGCCAGAGCCTGGGATATGGCTTCGTCAACTATGTCCGGCCGCAGGATGCCGAGCAGGCGGTGAATGTGCTGAACGGCCTACGTCTGCAGAACAAGACCATCAAGGTGTCGTTCGCCCGTCCCTCGTCGGATGCCATCAAGGGCGCCAATCTGTACGTCTCTGGGCTGCCAAAAACTATGACCCAGCAGGAACTAGAGGCCATCTTCGCTCCCTTTGGTGCGATCATCACATCGCGAATACTCCAAAATGCCGGCAACGATACGCAGACGAAGGGCGTCGGCTTCATACGGTTCGACAAGCGGGAGGAGGCCACACGGGCGATCATTGCCCTTAACGGCACCACGCCCTCGAGCTGCACGGATCCCATTGTTGTGAAGTTCTCCAATACGCCGGGCAGTACCAGCAAGATGATCCAGCCGCAGCTGCCCGCTTTTCTCAACCCGCAGCTGGTGCGACGCATCGGCGGCGCTATGCACACCCCCGTCAACAAGGGCCTGGCACGATTCTCGCCCATGGCCGGAGACATGTTGGACGTGATGCTGCCGAACGGACTGGGTGCGGCGGCGGCGGCTGCTACGACGCTGGCCAGCGGCCCAGGCGGTGCTTATCCGATATTCATATACAACCTGGCACCCGAAACGGAGGAGGCAGCGCTGTGGCAACTATTCGGTCCCTTCGGGGCTGTGCAATCAGTGAAGATCGTCAAGGATCCCACAACGAACCAGTGCAAGGGCTATGGCTTCGTCTCGATGACCAACTACGACGAGGCAGCCATGGCCATACGGGCCCTAAACGGCTACACCATGGGCAACCGGGTGCTACAGGTCAGCTTCAAGACCAACAAGGCCAAGTAGGGCGGCGACGCAGGATCGGGAATGGGAACGAGAAATTTTGTCCCCTCAAATCGTTTCGGAACACAACACACGACACACACGCAGCACTCGAAACATACACAGCAGCACACAACACAACACACATATATAAATATGCATGGTATAACGGTAACTAAGCGCAACAACAAAAACAAACAGTATGTGTAAAACACACACGAGACAAGAAACAATTGACAGGAGAGAAAGTAAGGGCCAGCAAAAAAAAACGAGGGCAGGACAAACTGAAGGCAGGCAGTAGGAGGAGGAGCAACTCTCTTACACGTGTCGAGACACAACGAAACGGCGGTACAGCAACCAAGTCCCTACCCAATCTCCCCAAGATATCCAGCCCTGAGGACTCTGAGAACCCTGAGAAAGCGCCGGCCAAACGCGTTGCAATAGCAAAATTCTTCTTGTTTAGCATTTAAGTAACGAAAATCATATACTAAAACGAACAAAAAATTAAGAAACCAAAAATTAGAAAGGAAGCAAGCTGCTTTGAGAGAGAGAAAGAGGGTGAGTGGGTGGAGAGCAGTCAGAGCAGTTAGGAAGGGTGAGGCGAAGGATAATGAATGAATGAATAATGAGATTATAAGGAACAATTGCAATATATATAAAAAAAAAGAGAACTCGAACTCAGGCAGCTCTGGGTCTTGGCAGCCGCCGTCAAAATGAGTCACAAAAGCGAAACAAAGAAATCAACACACAAAACTACTAAGAAAATTTAACTTAACTTAGCGAAAAAAGCATCAGCAAACAAAACAAAAGGAAAATGAGAAATTTTAAAAATTTAAACTTACACTTAAGGTAAAACGCAGCAATGAAATCTTCCAAACAAAGCAAAACAAAAACAAAAAAAAAAGAACTCTGTTAGTTACACTCCAAAAACAAAACATCTTTTCTACCATATATTAACAAAAAAAACCAAAAAGAATTATTGAAAACTCAAAAGAAAAACCAATTAAGAAGAAAGTGCACGAAACAGGAAAATAGGGACAGAAATGAGAAAGCATTCAGTGTCTAGGATGTTAACGGGACATGAGTTCGGCTCCTGCGGGGAGAAGCGGCGGGTTAAGTATTCATAAAATAATAGAATATATATAGTTATTGATAACATGGAGGCTGCTACAGTATTACCACAAAAGCTACTTAAAAACAAAGATCGAAATGTTTATATATATCCCAGATATGTATAGGTGATGCAATTCTATATATATATATTACCTATTTTATATAGAAATTTAATAATGAATTCTTTTTTTTTTAAAGAGCATCGATTGTGTTTTCTACATTTAGAGGAGAAACGAGATACGAGTAACGAGCAACCGCTAGCCCCCGTCGAACTCGTGTCCTTTAAGCCCAATCTCTCGCATAGACAACATTTATATAGAAACGATTAGCGAACGAAAGGGAAAGAACGAGTGAAAGAGAATGGAAAAACCAAAAAAGTAATAACAATAATTAATGCGCAAATTTGAAACGTTTTACTACAGACAAGTACATAATTGTTAGTGAATATTATTAAAAGAAAATAATGTAATTTCTCATATACTTTATACGTATATATATGAATATATATATATAAATATATTGTATAGTTGAAGTGACGCGAAGCGATAAGCGTATTAACAACAATTTTTAGCGTTTAAACAAAAGCCTAGCACAACAAAACAGCAGCAACCAAGCATCACTTTTTTATATATACATATATATAATTAAAAAAAAAGAAGAAAAACAGTTCGGAAAACGATATGAAAACGAGCGAATAAGGACGATTTGGTGTATAAGGCGCTAAAGCCAGTAAAGCCATTAAAGCATTAGCCAAGCGTTTTCTCTAATAGTTAAGCAACTTAGCAAGCAAACAAACAATAAATAATTGAAAGGAGAAAATCGTCGACGAAGAAAGGAAGGAGGAAAGGACATTAGAATGTACCAAAACCCCGTTTACAACCGACCTTTTCAATACTAGTCTATAATACCCCGAACTTTGATTTTCAATTTGCTTTCTTTGCTTGTTTCTTTACCTTCTTTTTTCGTTTCGTTTCGTTTTTTGGAGAGAGCGAGAGAGGAGTGACACACTCACAAAACCAACCAACCATCAATCAGATATCTCTATCTATTTACATGTATCTATATATTTTTTTCTGGATTTTCCTATTACGTTTTCGTTTGATTTCTTTGCTTTGCTTTGATTTTTCGACATTTTCGGCTTTCCTGCATCCTGCAACCAAGAATTAACTAACAACAAGTACAATCAACCATGCATATTTATAATTATTTTTTTTTGTTTCCTTCTCTGTGAAACTTATAGTAAATTCTTAATTTGAAGAGTTTGGAACCCTGCAGAAATGGATTTAATTATGATTACTATTACTTAGTACAATCGGTTGATACATCTCCGATATCCCCTATACATATACATATATCTATATATATCTCTTTAACTAGAATTATTAATCCTTTTTTTTGAGTAACTATTAGGTGGCCAACAAAAGAAGACGTTGTTTTTTATTCGCAACAAGAAATCTAGTCAGAAGATGTGGAGGATAGGGATAAGAACAAGGACATGGAGGAGGACAAAGCAAAGAGAGGATCGGTGACTCCCTCCCCTTTCCAAAGATTAGGGCGCAGGCTTCCCCCTTGGACGGGGCAAAGGCTGGGAGGGATCACTGCTCCTCCCCGACTCGAATTTGCAATAATTTATATATGAACAAATCTGCTAGTTTATTTATACAAAAAGGAGACAGAAAGCGAAGGAAGGAAAAAGGATTACATGTACTTGATTTTGTTTCATTTAAATTTTCTCTCACACACACCTACACCTACATATATGTATATTTAGTTAAATTGACTAATGCCCCAAACATATATATAAATATATATGATTATGCTTATATTTTTGTGTCATCGATGGATCTTATTAATTGTATTAATTCTAATTCTTGTGCAATAGTTTTAAAATAATGCAAGTAAGCAAAAGGCATCAAGGCATCTCAGAAACCACAAATTACAAATTTCAATTTGCGAACATGCACTGCGAGAAATGAACAGAAAATCGACCATTATACATATATATATAATTTTTGAGTGTAATTTACAATTTAAGAGACACACATATATATATATTTATATATCTCATCATGATTTTTCTTTAACCTATTTAAGTAAGCAATGAACCAAGATGAAAGCGAAAAGGCAAAAAAAAAAACAAAAACATTATTTATTGTATTCTTATAATTACGTAACTTAATTTAATTTAATTCCTTTGATTTGTGAGCAAAGCGAAAGAAGATGAACAATTAGAGCATACTAATGAAGAACTAGCCTAATTATACACACACACACACAATGAACAGAAAGAGAGAGAGAGAGCGAAAGGGATATAGATAGAATCAATCTAAAACTTTGAATCCCCAACTCTCTTTCCCTCTCGTTATCTGCCCTTTACCATTTCTAAATCCCCCTTCCTCAAACTCTACTATTCACATTTTACGTTTAATTTTTCTGTGCCCCTATATTGATTTTGATTTTGATTTAGTTTTAGTTTTAATTTTAATTAAAATTTTATGATTTTTCGTACAACTCATTCGATCTAGCAGCAGCAGCACACAGCACAGCCCAGCGTAAACTTCGGCTCTAGTTTTAGATATATCTAGCTATAGATATAGACGATACATGTGTAATGTCAGCTCAGATAGAGAGAGAGGATATTCCTGTGAATCTCTGACCCCATCGAATGCAATACTATTATGATTTATGATTACCATTATATGTTTATTATTATTTAATATGTTTGATTTCCTTTCCTCTTAATTTTGTGTATTTTTCCTACGAATTATTATATGTTCACATTCGACGATTTATGTTTATACACTCTTATGATTTCCCCCTTTGAATTTGCAAATATTCGAAGCAAAAAATTTACTTTCAATAAAAACAGAAAAAAAACACCTAAAAAGGAAAACTGTTAGCATAGTTTTTTGATTTATTTGTATCTCTTTGGTTTTTGTTTTGTAATCTTTATCATTTTCTTTCCCCCGCAACTTTTTTTTTCAAACCCCAAGGACTATGTATTTTCAAATATTCTATCAAACTCTTACACACTCACATAGAAAACATTAAAAGGAAAATGATAACAAATACAATCGATCTAGTCAAGGACCTTCTTGATCCACAAGAAGCGTCCACGGAAACCATTGATCTCAGCGAGAAAAGAAAATCCCGATCGATCAGGATCCCGAGTCCTCCCAAAAAGAAACTTGAAAAGAACAGCATTCCAGGAGCAAATCCAGAATTGATCTCCCGCTTTGTGTTGCTCGGTTCCAATGTTGCAATTAGCGATTAGCAATTAGCGATATTATTTGTGTGCAAAAAAGCAGAGAATACTTTTAATTTGTGTAATGCTATTATGTTTAGTGCTTATATATTTATGATTAACACGAATCTCTCGACCTCGACTCTGGTCCTAGTTTAGTTTTTAGCAGAACAAGTACAGTCACTCTGCCACTCCCTCGATTAATCCATAAATCCTTGATGGAATGATATGTTCCATGTATGATTTTTAACCTGTATATGTATCTTTGTATTGCTTAATTAATTGTGTGTACTTTTTGTAATTTAGTAAAACGCCTAATTTGTTCCACGGATAGAGAAAGCGCGATATAGCGATAGCGATAAAGATTACACCAATGATACCGTTAATAATCACGACAACAACAGCAAGGATATATATACACTTCGGTATATAAATATATATATATATAATTATATATATATTATTATTATTATCAAAGTGAGGACGACGGAGGAAACTATTTAATTTATTTTATTAACATATTTATATCGATTTATTAATTAATTAATATTTATCACACATTTCAAATGATATTTCAAAATGGAAACAATGCAAAACCAAAACAAAAGAGAAAATGATATTAATATTATAAATGTATTTCAAAATATATGATTATGAGTTTTTCTTGCTTTTTGCCATATAATATGTATCTCTATATAGTATATATCTATCAAACACACCGAACTTTTGTTTTATTTACTACATTTCTCTTTCGATGTGCTTTTCTGTGTTTCATATTCTTTCTGTGTTTCAGATTGGTTCGGTTTTCGAATTTCGATTTTGTTCGATTCAATTATTTCGGTATATTTCTTCTTTTTTTTGTAGACTTGAACTCGTATTTTCTCTGTTTTTCGGACCTTTCTTTTGATTCCTAATTTCCCTTTAGCCTTTTTTTTTGTTCCAGTGTATATTACACTAAACAACACACACGACACACGGACGCTTTTTCCATTTACATTTCCAAGTTGGTTTCAGTTTCTTGTTGTGTGCTAAAAAGTTGCCCCCTCCTCAACTGAAGAGTATTTTTTGCTCTTTGTTTGCTTTTATGATTTTGTCGCTCAGTGTACGCTTCTTTGGTCCCAGCCGAGAAGGACCCCCCCCCCAAAGAGAAAGTGAGGAAGATGAAGGAAGAGGATGCTTTGAAGGGAGGACGAGACTCCGATCCAATCCGATTTGACACTTGAGTTGATTCCGATTTTCGATTTGCGTTCCTTTTCTTCTTTCCCCACCATGTGGTACATATTCATCGATTTAAATTTTCAAAATTTTTAGTTCCTTGTTGCCGTTTGTTCGTTGTTATCTATATATATATATACATATATATATATATTTATATATATTATATATACATATACATTGTAGCGTACCTCTCACTCACTTTTATTGTTTCGTGTGGTTTTTGTTGGTAAGTAAATCGGAGACGAAAAGAGCAAAAAAAGGATCCCAGGATCCTTTTCCGGATCTGTACAATTTTTCGGCACACATATATTTTGATCTTCCCAAATAAATACATACTGATAATGATTTTCTCTAAATGGTTTTCTTTCTCATTTTTATTAATATTAATATTGATCTCTCCTCTTTTTTGTAGCAAAATGAACAAAAGAATAAAAAGAAGAACACTTGACAAACAAAAATCCAGCAGCAAAAAACTAATAATATTTTTATAAAGCATTTTCTAATTTGTTTCTTTCTCTTGATTTATTTTCAGGCGTGTTCGTTCTTGTTCGTTCGTTCGATTTTAAATTGAATTTATGAAAAAAAAAAAAACTAAAGAAAAAAAGAAAACAAAAAACAATACTCTAGACAAAAAAAAAAGATAAAACATTTAGTTAATTGATTACTTGATTAAAAACAATAATGATTGTGTAATTATATTGATTCATTGATACGTTAATCTTTAATATTGATTGTACTTATTTAATGCATAATCCACAGATGCCCCGGTCCCTTTCCTTTCCCAATTAATGTCCATACATATGATGTACAGACAAACAAAAGACACACCTTACTTTATGTATTATGTAATTTTCGGATACAAAAGACACTAGTGAGAGCCTCCAATTTTTGAATCATTTTCTAAGTACATATATTGCAAAAAATTTCAATTTACATTAACAGGTTTTTCTATAGTTTATAGATTTGATTTTGATCGAGCAATGCACAAACTACCATCCCCACACGATCCACCCAATAATAATACCTCTCGAAAGGAGTATCGGGCAGTCCTAAGTCTCTGATGTATAATGTTTGTACATATATACAAATGTGTATAAATATTTTGGTTTCCATTTCGATTTTCATTGTGTCAGTGCCAGTGTCTCCGTTTCGCCTGTCCGTTCTGTCTTTTTTTTTTTTGTATGTGTGTGTATAAAGTATGACTAACCAAGTTAATATATGTATGTATTTTAAGTTTCAGGCATTTCTCAGTTTCGATTCTTTCCGTTTTTTAATGTTTTCGAGCGAAAAAATAACAAAGCAGCACCATTGACCAAAAATCGATAGGATTCCCTATATATACAGAACCATTATTAAAAACTTTCAATTAGCTTCTTTTTCCCGTTTTCAAATTCGTTCCACTCTTTTTTAAATAAATAAAATATAACAAAAAAGGAGGAAAACAAACAAACGAACTGCCGCAAGAAGCAAATGTGTAAATGAAACAATATATTTAATAAGCTGATTAAAGGTTGATAGCAACTAACAAAAAGACTGAAGAAGAGCAAAAGGCAAAATGAGAACAAAACAAAATCTAAATCTAGCAATAACGAAAATAAAACCGAAACGAAAGCAAAGAATCAAAGCAAACCAAAAACAACACTTAGTTCGTAAAGAGATGCAACTGTGATAAGGCGACAAGAACCCCACCCAGCCAAAAAAAAAAAAAAAAAAAAAAAAAAAAAACAATCCCCACCCCGAAACTCCCTCAAATACAGAGTATTAATTATGTTATACATTTACAAAACAAATATGAAAAAGAAAAGGAAAACCCCCGAGACAGAGGAAGCCCTAGAGACTAAGTGCTACTTGTAAGCTGTAAGCGATCTCAACTGATCTGGCGCTATACCAATAAAGCAAAAAGTAAAGCAAAACATGGCAAAGCAAACTCACCAGTTGGGAGCGATCTCCTGGAGGCCAGCGTGTTGCCAGGTGCTGCGCAGCTGCTCCAGCAGAAACGACACGGGCATGCCGTGGATGTTGCCCGACTGCGAGGTGCTGTGCAAGTTGATGTCCGCGTGCGCATCGATCCAAACCAGCGACAGATTCGGCGTGTGCTGCAGGTGCCCAGCTACGGAGCCTGTGAGGAGGGGCAGAAGTCAGCAGGATTAGGCTCACGGCAGGAGGATGGGGCAATGAAAGTGGAGTCTAACCGAACCCAATCGCATGGTCGCCGCCAATGGCCAGAAACTGAGAGTTCTCCCTGAGCATCAACTGTACTTGCTCGATCAGCGCCCGGTTGCAGGCCATGAAGTCGGCGTAGTTCCGGATGTGGTGATAGTGCACCCGCTGCTGCTGCAGCAGCGACTCGTCCACGGCATACTGCAGGTTCCCATAGTCGCGGATAACCAGGCCATCTGAGCGGAAAGAATAAACGAATTAAAAATACATTTACACACACGGCCTTTGACTTTTTCATTACATATTGACTTCTGCTGATAGAAATTTGATTGCAATTACTGTCCAGTTCTCCACGTTCACTTTCTAACGCAACTGTACAATTGATTTTTTCTCCGAGCTCCCACGGCAATGCGAGCGAATCCACGAAGCGAACAAACATAAATGTGTGCTGGAAAGCAATGAACCGCTTCTGCAAACTGCAAATTTACAGGTTGCTTGGGATGTCGCTCTCTCCCTCTCTGCCCAAATTTCCAATATGGATGAGAGAGAAATGCTGGGAGAAGAGGAGTAATATCTGGAGAGTGCTAAGCTCTTCACAACTTGAGGGATCTCTCTCTCAACTAAAGCCGTTATTTTATGTTCCAACGGTGTACTCTTGCGATTGCTATTTAACATTTATCTTCGCTGGGTTCTGAACCTACATACATATGTGTCGCTAAGCAGTAAAGCCATGTCCGTCTCTTTCTAGCCAATCGAATAGGTCGGTTATGGAAACTTTTTTATACCCTTAGGGTAGGGTATTGAAACTTTAATCTGAAGCTAGCGTCTAAGGGAAGGAGTTATTTCCGACCCTATATACATAATTAGAATACAAATATACCATGTTTTCTGGGAGGCATCCAGAGGTCAAAAAGGCAATAATTGCAAAAATAATTTATACATACATATGTACATCTATATTTGCAATCAAAATCCTAAACAATAAAGAATAAAAGATGTAAACAAAAATTAAATTCGACAAAATGTTTAGCTTAACTTTAGGAAATAAAAAATCCAATCACAAAAAATCCAAATACAATTTAGCTAGTTCACCATATAAAGTGCTTAAATACATGATTTTGTTTACCAAGCAACTAGAAAATTCCGCAAGAAGCTGATCTGCTGATTTAAGTTCTGAAGTAACGGATTTTCCAAGAGGGGAACGGGAAGAACTTCTCTGATTGGTCTAATCAGACGTAAACAAAGGACGGCCATTAATGATTTCAAAGTCCTAAGGTAACGGATCTTAGAAGAGGAGAACGCGAAGATTGTTTCTGATTGGTCACAACAAACAGCGGCCATTAGGATTTGGAATGCTGAAAAGCTCCGTTATAATTTGGCATTATCTCAAGCCCCTTGCCGTGTAAATCACTGGAAACCGAACTGGAAAACGCTAAAGCCCCGTTATAAGCATCGCTTGGTGTTGTGCTGCTGAGCTGCTGCCTGCCGATTCTGTTTGCCTGGTGTAAGTTGAGAAATTTAAGAATCAGTCTGATTGAAAGAAGCGCAGTCGGGGGCTATGCAGATTGAATGCTCTAATGGAAACTGACATGAACGATTTCCGAATTTAAATTAATGCTTTTATTACATATTTATGAGTTCTTAAAATTTAAATTTGTCAATATAAATTTTCATATAAAAAGGTAAATAAATATCGGCTCAAAGTTTCAGTCGGAAGCTTGCAGAGCAGTGAAGGAGTCATTTCCGACCCTATAAACCATATATATTCTTGATCAGCATCAACAGGCAAATCTTTTAAGGCATCTCCGGCCAAAAAAAAATTTTTTCAGAAATTTCCCATTTTTGTAAAAAAAAGGAAAGGGGTTACATCATGAAAATTTGCAAAAATCGGCCAAAAATTCACATTTTAAATGAAGTATGCAGTTTTGTTAACCTGCTAAAAATTAACATACTGCCGCTTTCCGAATTAAAATAAATGCGTTTTTGGCCTAGTTATGAGATTGTTAAGCTGTGGCTTGTACAACAAATTGTCTTAAAAATAATCTTTCTATGCATGTAAGTAGGAAAATAAATTGTTTTGCCATCGTTATATTATGTTTAATTATTATTATTTTAGTATGTACATTATTTTCAGCTTCCCAAAGTTAGTTGCTTTTCTTGTTTTAATTATCTATCGATCTGGCGTTTATTTGGCTTTTCTCCCCAGATTATAACAAAGACTCACCATGACTGCTCTGCAGCACCTGTCGCAGGTTGCTCTGCCGCAGGAAATCCGGTGCTAGTTCCACACCCTGCTTTCCCTGCCCCTTGGCGAAGGGCACACCGATGATGGCTAGCGTCTGCTCCGGCTCCAGGGCGGAGGTGGAGTTTGTGGTTTTGGTGCGATGGAGGCGCAGGCGGAGGCACCTAGTGGCTAACTTACGGCTCCACCACATGATTCTGCTGCTGTTGTTCGCTGGGATGTAGTCGTGACGCTGGAAGCTTCGCAACTGCGTCGCCGTGTCGAATGGAGTAGATCCAACGGATGCTGCTGCTTTGTGTTCCTGCTCTGCTCGAGCAACAACTATCTCTTGGGCTCTGGACCCCCTGATAAAGCCGGGCGACAATTCAGTTCAGCCGCGACGAGAGAGATCGCCAGCCGGCAGCGGACATTGTATATTGTAGTGTTTTGTGGATGGATAGAGCGAGAGCCGCTTGTTGGTTGGGTGGTGTGTCGGGCGATAAGACAGCTATCGCCAGATGACCTTGATCCTGGCTCTGACGACAACCGAACAGCGGCTATAACGATGATGGTCACAAAGGCAACATACCCCGAAGCGCACAAGCAGAAACCGAACACGTTTGTTTTGTATTTCAATTTCCCAGAAGGTTGGAATGTCTCAAGATTAACACTCGAAGGGAGAAAGCCCAGGCTAACTGAAAGAACAACGACTAGAGGATGCTGACCTCTGTAAAATGAAAGAAATTTTTGGGAAATGTACATCTTTAAACCCACATATACTTACCGTGTAGCCATGGTACTTTGATCTGTCTGTAAGGTGGACTCCAACCTTAACATATGAATAAATCGCTTCCCGTGCGATTCATCTGATCAGGAAGTCGCCCACCAACAGTTGTGAACGATTGCTCCTCAGGCAAAGGCCTTCTATGTGGACATTATTCATTCATTTATTCATTCAGTTTACATTTAGTTGTATAATTGCCATATTTTTGTGGATATGTATACGATATATGGGTATATAGTATATTGGTAAATGCTGCACCTTTGTCTTAACGCTTTTCGTCTTGGCTATGTGCTCTAGCTTAAAGTAAATTAAATCGGTTAAAATCGTGCAGTAAATATATATATATATATTTTGGTGTATATTTAGTACGTCTAATATCAAGTTAATCAAGGAAAATTTTACAAAAGCTCTGTGTTAACTCTGTTAATATTCTTTCTCTCTTGGCACAGCTGCACAATTGGTTTTCCCTCGCTGCCGTGGTTTCTTTTCTGGAAGCCAGATGGACATAAAACGTTAGATTCTGTCTTTAAACAAATACTTGTAGCATAATTGCACACTTTTTTTGACTAATTTCCAGTTGTAAAACAATTCAAAAGCCATTTTGAGCCACGTTCTAAGGTTTGTTCATCATTTCAATTAACAAACTTGCTTTTTCAAATACAATTTACAATTGACTATTTCGCTAGATTCATGTCTTTGCTGTGGCTTCTTCTATTCTTTTTGTTGCTATAGAGTTGCAAATCTCTCAGTCTTAGTTAGGTTATACTATAACGCCTACAGTTCTCTTCTGGGCTGGACAAATACAGATACAGGTGCAGATATCGAATGGGGCTAAAGCCGGAGGCTGGGCGAGAGATTCGAGGGATTCACCGGTACGGTATGGTTCGTCTTTTTGGGGCACAACATTTTCTATTTAAAGCTGACGATTGTGATGCTCATTAACATAAAAGCGCTGGCGCAATTAATTAAGTTACATGTACAAAAAAAAAAGATAAATAAAAGGTAAGAGCAATGCCTGGCGCTGGCTTCTTCTGTCCTCATCGCTTAAAAACGTTTTGAATCACAGTTATGTTGTGTGTGTGTGTGTGTGTGTTTTGTCGTGGGCTGGGATTTCCTCTGCCACCTCTGTTCTTAGTGGCGACGCTTCTGGCCATGATTGTGCAGCATCACAATCTCATCGCCACTGTCATCGGCTATATCCAGTTCCGGCTCCATGCGCGGCCCATCCTCGTCGTCCTCGTCCTCGTCATCTGTGTGCAGAATGCGCTCCAACTGCTCCTCATCGAAGTACGGCTGAATAGTCATGCCACCTGTTTTTTATTAAAAAATTAGTTTTAAATTGAATATATAAGGCAAAGACTTTACAAGCCCGAGATTCGTAACGCCAGATGCTCGCTCGCTCCAGGCCCTCTTCAAATTTAATTTTAAAGACAGAGAGTGCCCAAGAGCTGCATCTAATTATTACAAAGTCTCTAGGTAGGAACTCACGCTTAATGGGCGATCGAAACAGCTCCGTCTCGCCATCGTCGCCTGCCTCGTCGTCCTCGAGATCGAAATGCTGTTCCTTGCTCTTCTGCGGCAGCAGCGAGAAGTTGTAGTACGGCTTGTTGCCCCGATGGCGGCGATAGAACCAGAACTGAGCGCACAGCACGCACACCACAACTCCGACGATGATCAGGACACTGGCGAACAGAATGAAGAGGAATCGGGGCAAGCCGAACACATGCTCGTTGACCTTTAGGCGGAAAACCACATTCTCCGTGGCGCCAGAGTGACCGCCGTGACTAAGGTGCAACTCCCGGGTAGCTTCCAGGTGACGAGGCGCCTCCACCTTCAGCGTGATGGTGCCCACGGGCACCGCGGCCAAATGGTACTGGCCCAGGCTATTGGTGAAGTTCCTCAGCTTGGCTTGGCCCACAACCGAGACCTTGGCATTGCGCACCGGGTGATTGCTCTCGTCCAGCACGACGCCCGCAATGCTGGTGGTGCCAGCCACAGCTTCAGCTGCACCGCTCAACTTATTCGGCAGCTCCAGCACCTCGCCGCGTATCAGCGTGAACGGGTGCAGGTGGACAATGCCCAGCTCCGTCACTTGGCCATCCTGTATGTCAACATTGAGTATCTGCGACTCGTAGTTGGGGGCGGTCACCTCCAGGCCGTAACTGCCGCGAGGCAACATCAGCTGGAAGCGTGCCGCGTTCTTAGTCACATTGTAAACGCGCTGCTGATGCTCCAGCAGCCGGACAAAGGCCTCGCGCAGCGGCTGCCCCTTGTCGTTCTGCACCAGACCACTTACTCCCGTCCGTACCAGGGCCAGGAAGTTTTTAATCTTGTCAATGTTCTTGCGCCACACGGAGGCGATCTGCTTGTGGTGGGGCATCCGGCAGCAGGCGACGCCCAGCGTGTAAACGGGGAGATTGTACAGGCGGTACATCATGTTGGTCAGGCGTTCCGTCGTCTTCTGGTGCTGATGCCTGGTGGCGGAGCTGGTGCACTGCAGCGGCGAGTAATTGAACTCCGTGCGCTGCATGCTGTGGGCGAACTTTTCCAGGACTGAGTCGCCGCGCGGGTAGCTCAGGTCGGAGCTGCCTGCACCGAAGGTGAGCATTAGGTCAAAGTTCTCGCTGTGCAGGAACTGCAGGAACATGTCCTTGGCCTGATCGGTCTCTGGACTGAGGATGCGCTCCGCCAGCTCATCCCCAGCACGGGATCGCAAATGGAAGAGCTGTGAGTAAAAGATTGTTGGTAAGGAAGGCAGGATTATGCCAGGGGTAACTTACTTGAGATTGTACATATCGAAGACCTGCTGGAACTTCTGCGTCTGTGGCAGGAAATAGATGACGCTGCGCTGTAGCAGCTGGACCACCGAGGCGTCCTGCAGCTTGAAGCCTTCAACCAGGTGACGTACCAGATTCAGCAGAATCTCTCTGCCCAGCGGAGTGGCCGTGTCATAGAGAGAGCTCACCACCAATAGCTTGTACTTGTGCTCCTCGGGTTCCCCTATCTAAAGGGAGGTCATTCAAAGGAGGCTATGGGGGAGGCATGGAGGCTACTCACATCCGAGGTCATCTTCAGGTAGTTGAAGTATCTGCTGAACTCGTTGTCCGCATAACCGAAGCTCGCTATTTGCCCGTTCTGGTTTTCCAGCTCGGCCAGGCGCGCCCTAACCTCCGGGTTTGTGTGGTACCGCGTGTTCACCACGTTCTCGATGATCCGGAAATCGTTGGCCGACGCCCAGTGCTGCGGATCGTCCGGCATTAGGGTGACGTCCATGCGCATCTCGTGCGGCTCGCCCTCCGGCACCTCCACCTCCACGCGCAGCGGAGCATAGTTGTCACCCAGGACGGTGAGGTTGTGGCGTCCCGGCAGCGCCAGCTTCCAGTAGTCACCAAAGGTCTGACTATAGCTGGAGTGGTTGGCGCCATCTAGGCGAATCACGGCGCCGGCGATGGGCGTGCCGATGGTGCTGTGCACAAACCCATGTATGCCGTGGTGCACCTGCTCGATGAACTGCAGCATCGGTTCGCGGTGATCCGCCCAGTATTTGGGCAACTCAGCGGCCAGGGGGAACTTGTCGCAGCCCATCTCAATGGTTAGCTCCAGACACCCGGCCCGCACATAGTTCCAGTCCTGCATCCCCCCCGTGACGCTATACCACTGCGCCCCGTTGGTGATGCCCTCGGCAAAGTACTCGTTCTGGAACAGCTCGCAGGGCTGGCCCAGATGCATGGTGGGGTGGGCATTGGCATAGATCCCGGCCAGATGTCGGAACAGGGCGTTGTCCTCGGTGGGATTGGGCTTGCGCCCGTTGATGCTCGAATTGCGAAGCCTCATGGAGGGATCATTGAAGTCGTTCTCGTTGTCGTCGTACGGGTAGTTGGCGACCAGGGAGCCGCCATGGAGATTGGCGGACAGGACGAACGGCAGCGACAGGGTCCAGTTCATCAGAGCGGCCACCTCGGGCTCCGTCACCTTGTTGAACCTATCTGTCCCGTACTGGTCCGGAAAGTTCCTGTTCAGATCGATGCCATGCGCATTGGCCCGTCCCACACCGCCGGTGCGATCTCCTTCCCGTGACACTTCGTAGCCGTCGGGATTCATGCTGTAGAGGAAGTGAATCCGGGTGCCGTTCACCATCTTGGTCACCCGCTCGTCGTTGCCATAGCGCTCCAGCAGGTACTTGGTGAGCAGCAGGAGCATCTCCTTGCCCACCACCTCGTTGCCATGCATGTTGGCCACGTACTTGAACTCGGGCACGCCGGGCACATGGGCTCCGGGTGTGGCGAATATCTCCAGCACCCACAGGTCGCGGCCCTCGACGCTCTTGCCAATGCTGTAAAGGCGGGTCAGCGAGGGATATCTGGCCGAGATGTCGCGAAGGAGGCTGGAAAGGAAAGAGATGTCAAGTTTAGCAGGGACTTCTATTCTCTCTTCATACAGAGATGCTATGCTATGCTCACCTCTCCATGGCCGTGAAGTTGTGATGCTCGAACTTGGTGGGGGTGAGGAAGCCATGGAACTGCTCCTTGCGCTTCTCCGGCGGCTCCGAACGCTCCACCTTGACCTTCCGGAAGTTGCCTAGGGACAGAGTGGGCAGAGCGGAGACGGAAATGAGGGTAAGGATCTTGTGCGTGTCAGGGTGTGTGTGTGTGTGTGTGTGTGTTTTCATGCCAGTTTCGATTGCAAAAGGTGCCGCATGCAAAGGGGTTGTGTAGGGGTTACGGGGAAGCAGGGAGTCTAAAGTTAGGGGTCAATGGTTAAGGCTAGGGACTTGGGACTAGGGGCTAAGGGGGCGGGAGTAGGCGTAGCTAGATCAGAAGCCGATTTACAAGCACAAGCATAGATGCATATCATAGTATAATTTTGTTCGTTTATTTTTGCCATAATTTCCATAGTTCACATTTATTTCAAGATAAAATCCAAGTAAAATGCCAAAGAAAATGCCCGACTTTTTGTACAATTTAGTGCGATCGATACATTTAATACCTATTTATAAATATAAAACATATCCATATCGAGAATCTATAGTTTGATTTTTGGCACATACATTATTTTTTTCCTTTTGTTTCTTTTCCCTTTCCTTTCCTTCTTTTTTTTCGATTTTTAGGTACTTGGTGGAATATATAAATACAATTTTAAACAGATTCTGTGTGATTCTAGTCCTGTCTTACAGCTGATTGTAAGACAAAGGATATATGTATATATATGCCCGGAATGGTCAGGTCAGCAAAGAACGCCAAAGCCAAAGTTTCGCAAAAAATTATGAACATAAACTGATGACTTCATCAACGATAATTATTTAAGCAAGATAGTGATTTGTAGTATAATTAAACTAAATTTGAAACAAAAAAATAAACAAAATTTTTAGAGTTTAGTTAATTTTTTTAAAACTTTGTTCTAAAATGTTTTTTTCTTTCTTCTTTGAATGCAAATCAAATAAAATAAATATTGGCAGTCATTCCCTTCTTGGCCTTTGTATACCTTCAACAAAACCTAAAATAAATTTTTCGATTAGTTATGATATTTGAAAAACTTTGGTTTTTTTTATATGCTACCGAAGAATTCATTAATTTCAATTTGAAATGCTTTTCTGTGCTAGTTTTTGTAAGGTTAACGAATCTGAATACTGAGTTTTGAAATATATTTTTAAATTTTTACACTTTTAACAATTTAACCTCTTATAAAATTTTGAAAAAAATGAAGTAAAATTTTGTTTCGACCAGAAATAGCTAGATCGAATGGGCTGTTGATGCTGATAAGGAATATATATGGTTTATATGGCGGAAATGATTTCCTTACTGCGATTTAAGTCTCTGATTTAACTTATAATGCAAGGGTATAAAAAGAATACTACTAAATTTGGATTAAAAAAGATTAAAAATTTGAAAGAAAATGTGAAATGAAATATATTAAAAAAAGTCGAATTCTAAAGGTACAAATAAATAAGAAACAAACAAAATATTAATTGAAACGAGATAAAATACACACTACAATCGAAATCTTAAGGCGAAATTAGGCAAGCAATACCACAAAAACACAAATCTAAATCTATACAATATATAAAAATGTGGTGACGCCTAAAGTGAATACTGATGAGACCATGATGGAAATAAAAACGCACCAAGCAAAAATTAAAATTTTATTTATCCTTTGGGAGAGATAAACCTGGCTCATCAATTCATTTTTATTCCTCTTTTCGCTCCATTCAATTTCCAGCTAAAGTCATGTGTGCATTGCATATATATGGTTTATATCTACATTAAAAGCCATAATTCATGTTTCCGATATCTGATGGAATTCGCATAGATTCTACATATGATAGTAATATTATATAGCCGTATATATATATGTATGTACTTATATGTCCATATAGTGCATATGTATATGCGTAAAACAGAAAGACAAACAGGAGAGAGATCAAGCTAAAACCGTGTATATATTGTTCGTCTAATTAGGGGGCCATTTTATGACCTTCCAAGTGGGCTGTGACTTTGGATTGGAGTTCTTTACAAGTTCCTAAGTACAATTCGCTTATATTCGATTATTGTGTGTTGTTTGTTATTTCGCTATTTAGATATTTCGATTTTTGGTTTTGGATTGTTCGGGCTCTGGCTGCACTTTTGCTGTCCCTTGCCGAGGTCTATTTACAACTCAACCGGCTTCCTCGTCGAGTGTGTGAGAAATGAAACGAAAGGGGATGGAGCGAGGGGAAGAGACACAATGGACCAGAGATTCCTTCGGTGAAAGTGGAAATACAACATAAAATGCACAAATAGTAAAGGAAAATACACTAAACAGATTCGATTCGATTAGTTTCGGCCGTTTGAACGCCTAACAATTAAACTTTCAAGAAACCGATAGCAAGAAAGAGGAATCGTGGGGAAAAAACAAAAGGGATGAGATGATCATGCCCACACCAAAGGGTAAGGGTAAGGTTAGATGGTAAGGAAATGAGCCGAGTCAACATATAGTACAATAACGAAAACTGGCAGCGTGCAAACTAGGTGCAGGTCATGGCTATATGCTATGTGTGTGTGTATGTTTCTAGCTGGATCTGCTGCTATATATGTATATATATATATAGATCTGTTTGTATATTTAGCTGGCGTTCCCCCTCCTTTTTAGAAATAATAGGGACTGTAAAAACTGCTAATACCATCAAAGTTCGTCTCGACGGGCGTCAGCTTGAAGTCGACGCGCAGTGCCTCCTGGTTGTCGTTGGTCACCCTCACCTGTTGCGGGGCACTTGCCTGGTAGCTGTACAGAGATAGCATTAGCTTAGTGGATCAAGAAGGAGAAGTAAGAGCACACCCACCCAAAGGCAGCAGCATGGACACTGTAGAGGCCCGGGGTCAACAGGCGCCAGTACTCGCCACGCTTCGACGTCCGTATGGGCTTGTCCTCCAGTCCAACCACGTAGACATTGGCATCGGCTATGGGGTAGCCGCTGACATCCTCCACCAGACCCTTAATGCCTATGTGCGCCTGACGCAGCAGCTGCAGGAGCGATCCCTTGTTCCGCGCCCACTCCTGCGGCAGTGTGCTGGCAGCCGGAAACTTGCAGCAGGAGAGCTCGATGGTCAGCTCGAAGCAGTTGCTGAAGGCGTAGTTGAAGTCCTGCATGCCGCCGGACAGCTCGTACCAGTTGGCGCCGTTGGTGATGCCGCCGGAGAAGCTGTCGTTGCAGTTGTTGCCCTTGCGCATGATCGGGTGGTTGTCCGAGTAGGTGTGGGCCAGCTGCTTGAACACTCGATCGTCCGGGGTCAGGCTCTCCTCGCAGCACTCGTTGTGGGCACTGGAAGGGTCTTGAGTTAGTCCAGTTGGTAGGAGGAGGGTAGGTTGCCCTTGACTTACATGGAGTTGTCGTACGGATAACTGGCCACCACGGCGCCGCCATGGAAGTTGGCGGAGAGCACGAACGGCTTGCTCACAATCCAGTTCACTAGGGCTGCCGTTTCCGGCTGGCGGGATTGAGCGCGCAGTTGGTGGACGTGCGACTGCTCGAGGCGATCGGGAAAATCGCGATTCAGATCGATGCCGGCCGCATTGCCGCGACCCACATAGTTGGGCAGCGATTCGCAGTTGCCCTCCTGCAAAGAAGATTACGTGTTTGTTTTTTGGGTTAATTAACAGCTATGTCAGATTGCCTTATCTCTGTGGCACAACTAACAAATGGTGTATTTGTAAGTGAACCATTCTTAATTGCTTCGTATAAATGTGAACTGTACTAAGAGTTAACTTGGGGGATATTAATTTAATCGCATTAAAAGGTTAGTTCATTTGATACTTTACTTAAAAGCCAAGACTTGGCTGGTATTACTTGTATTAAATTGCAGCTTTTACAATATATAGGATAATTTGATGTTATTGAAAGTTAAAGTTGCTAGTTGAAAGCACAACAAGTTTCTCTGTTTGCTCTCTATCATGGGCTGATTGGCATGCAGGTCACTCCTGACCGGAATTGGCCATTTAGCAAGGCAGTCAGGTGTCAGTCGACTGGTTACACAATAATATGTTATATATGTATAGAAAACGGAATGAGCGGTCTTTCCCCGATAGATATTCGATGACAATACAATACAATATTGGGCAATGAAGCAGGAAAACAGAACGCATCACCAGAGCCAGAGCCAGCGCCAGGGGCAGGGGCAGGGGCAGGGGCAGTGGTGGTTTACTCGGCTTTCCAATCAATCAGAGAAAAGGCCACAGAGACCCAACACGCATCGGAAGGTGGAGTCCACACAAGAATGGACGCCGGAAAAGTGGAACACGGAACAGGCCGGTGGCAAAACCAACAAATTACACCATTGACGGGCCACGTTAAATGGATCATGTCATCATCATCGTCACCACGATGATCACTGCACACCACCGAAGCTGAAAAACTCGGCAGCTCCGAATCAGCTGCTCACGTGGTCAAAATGGGTAATGGATGAGTTGGCTGGGTGCTGGGGTAAACAATGGTAATTGAACTGAGCCTTGTAAACATGTTATGTTTGTTTTAAATAGTTAATGTATTAATATCAATCCTTAGTGCAGCCCGATATAAATAAAGTTATCCTTAAAGGCAAGACAAAAAAACAAGCATGATTTGTTTTTATAATCCATAAAGCGAGGTTAACCCTTTTTCACCAAAAAAGGAAACAAAGTCCCTTCCTAACTTAATATCAATTGATATCCAAGTTTTTTTAGCGAAACCAAGCGATTTCAATAGTACTTCATATTGAAGCTGGAAAATTAAATTAAATTCGCATTAGGTGTGGGCTTTTCCCATACATTCGCTACATTCGCAAATCAATTTGAAATACCCGCCAGCGAGGGGGCGACAGAGCGCGAGAGACTTCCAGATTGTATTAATCTGACCTTTATTCTTGTTGCTGTGCCACTGAGCACATACAAATATTAATAATTGCGAGTTTGCGCTTTCGGCTTCACACCAAGCAGCAGCACACGAACACCCGAGAAGACGACAACGAGCGATAGTTGTTAATGATAAGAAATATTGGTAAACAAACGAGGGGTTTTTTTGAGCCCAGAGCTTGGGCTCTGGCAGGCAGTTCATTAGGAAGTTGGGAAATGTTATGTGGCAGTCACAGAGACAGACAGGCCGAGAGAGAAGAAGAGAGAGAGAGAGCTAACGCTCTCTTCTGGCCATTTTAAAATCATTCGCTCCCACCCACTAACTACTCTCTATCTCTCCTGCTGCCATTTTTGGGCTCCTCCGGTGCTCCCGCTTCCACTCATCGATTTTTCCCACAAATCGAACACCACAACAGGTGACACCAGGGGAGGAGGAGGAAAACACACTTTACCTGCGACAACGCATAGCCGTCCGGATTCATGGTGGGCATCAGGTAAATGTCCGTACTGTTAACCAGCCGGCCCAGATCCGGAACCCGCTCGTAGTTGCCCAGCAGATACTGGGCCAGGTACACTAGCAGCTGCCTGCCGACGGTCTCGTCTCCGTGCATGTTGGCAATGTACTTCACCGGCGGAGTCAGCAGGTTCCGCTGTCGGGTGTTCCGCGAGATCTGCAGGGCCAGCAGGTTCCTGCCCTCCAGCGAACGGCCCAGGTAGTGGACGCGTGCCTGGTCGGGATAGGCCTTCTCCAGTCCGGCGAACAAGTCCTCCAGCTGCTCCTGGCTCACGTAGTGGGGTTGCTGCAGAAAGGAATCATCTTCCTTGATGATGTACCCGCTGCCGACCGTTGCGAGAGCGAGAGCCATTGAAAGCCACAGCGCCAGCATCTTGATTCTGTCTTTATCGATGATTCTTTCAGAGGCCACGGGCTCCGGCTGATAGCTGCTGCCGTTTATCACTGGAGTGCAAATTGAGCGATACAGTTACTTTTCAGCTCCACACTCCTCCGCTGCTCCTCTGCGCGCGCTCTGCTCCTTTGTCTTTGGCGGTGGCGTCCCCGTTCGTCGGTTCTCGCTGGCTAGTCCAGTGTAAATGTCGTCGTTGCAGCTCAGCCTCGAAAAATCAACTGTTTGAAAATTTGCTGCGTTGATTGGCCTTAAGCGCCCATTGCCCGCTCAGTCGCCGTCGCCGCCGCACAGTGGGACCATTTCAGTTTGTTCGTTGTCAAATTATAAACTTCGGAACCAAGATAAGAGATATCACGTTCTTTTTATATAATTTAATTTAATATTGGTTAAACTTTATTCTATTAACAATAAACAAATATAGTATATCTGCAACTATAATCGTGACTAAATTTCGGGCTTTATTCATATTTATTGTTTTTAAAATATTGACAACTTCCTTGAGTACTCAAAATCAATACGCCCACTGCAAAATTTTGACTTTGGCAACGATGTTTGTTCCAGAGGACCCACTGTGCGCCGCCGCTAATGCTGCTGGCACTCCAAGAGAGCCAAAAAATACACAACACTCCGGCAAAGAGAGAGCGCGCCCTCCGCGGCACGGCAGGCACAGGCGCTAATTGTGGGGAAATTACACGCTGCTGCGAACTCACTACTCACACTCTGCGTTTTCGGTAAATTTTTGATCAAGAAAAGCTTTCATTTACGTCTTTTTTCAAATGTTTATTGTTGTATTTTGTTAGGAGCCATAGCTTAATGGTTTATTTAGGCGCATTTAATTGTGCTATTACGGTGTTGCCAGACCGAAAAAGTGGGGCGCCTGCGCATGTGGGTGTGTGATTTGGGCAAAATAAGGGAGAGAGAGAGAGAGGGTGTTGCGTCTCATCGCTTGCCTTTGCACGTCAACAGGATATTTTTAGCGACGCACACGAAAATCAATAACTCAACTCACAATCTCACGCCCACACCCAGGCGTCATGACGTCACGACCGTCCTGCGTGGGTTCAAAGGCCACCCACACAGGCACAGACTGAGGCACACGGACTTGCTTACGTGCGAGAGAACGTCCCGCCGCCGCCTTATCAACAAGCAAACAAAAATTGGCAAAGAGAGCGAGGCTACATTTTTTTATCAGAGAATATGCGACAACAACATATGGACATTTTCCGCCTCTTTCTCAGCTCTTCCCTCCCGCATTACCCCAAACCACTAACCACCATGCCCCTTGATTAACCGCTGGCGACAAGTAAATAAATACAAAAAGCTCAGTTCCGATCTGCTTATGGGAAAGCTGCTCACAACGAAGAGAAAGAGCGTAAGAGAGAAAACAAAAACAGAGTAATGCACTTCCTTAGGGGATTGCGGTTAAAGAGCAGCAGAGAGTGACGAAGGTTATATACCCTACAATTACAAATATGTATTTAAATTATTATTTTCTTTTAAATTGAATTTGATTGTATTCCTAAAAATAATTTTAAACTTTCAAATAAATTATCAGTTCAAGAAATGGCAAGCTAAGATGTTGATTTAAGTACTCTCGCTTCCAGTAACAATTGGCCAGGCGATTTCTATAATCTGCATAATGTTTTCGCGTCTGCAGCAGACACAAGCACCTGTTTTATATAATCTGCATTATGCTCGTGAACTGCCACAGCTGCTGCACGCACATACAGCCACACATCAACCATGTATACGGCAATAAAATAATAAATACAAAAAACTTGCCAATCTGCAAAGCGTGTGCTCTGCAGCGGAAATTGGCAAACATTTAGCACCAACTCTCGGGCAGCAACAACGAAACCGGTTGCCAATCAAAGTGTTTCAATTGCAGTTAAATAAAGTGAATAAAGTTGAACCGAAAAGCGAAAACAACACATTGATGAAATTTGTTGTGACACGTAACCAGTTCCTTGCAATGTAATGGCCATTTGTCGCCCCCTACTTGTTCTGCCACCCAGTATTTTCAGTCGGTTATTGTCACAGACCCTGCTGCAATTGCGAAATAATGACGTCAACAACTGACAACTGTCGACGGCTTAGCGGGCTAAGTAACTATGTTTACTTTATTACTCCGATTATTGGCGAGGCCATAAAACTGTCATCAAAGATATACGCACGCACGAAGGCCCACATACATGACGAAAAAGTATCATTATTTTTCAGCCAAACTAATGTCAAAACAGGCACTGAAAACATTCTATGTACATACATGAATTTCATTATGTATTTATCTTTCTCCCTCCCTCTTCCTTGTTGTTGTTGTTGTTGGAATAGCTTTGAACTATGTTAATTAAGATATTTTCCTCCAGTGCATCTCGCATTTAACAGCTTTCTAAGTTTGTTTGCCATTATTTTAATCTAATCAGGGCCCCTAAGTGCTCATTGAAGTGCCAAAAAGGAGAGGCGACAAGGCCAAAATAGCCCAGGCCATATATAATACTTCATGGATTAGATAGACCTGATTATTATTAAGAATGCAACGCACATTAATTCGTTACTTAAAAGCGAACGGGCCTGTTTTTTAAAAAAAAAGTCTGGCCATTTAAATAAATAATACCCAGACAAGATCCACAATAATCCTAAACAAAATAAAAATGGCCTGTTAAGACAAGCAATAATGAACGTATAAATGTCACTTTTTGTAAATTATAAAGCGAACTTGGAACTTAAGAGACTTTTCTTCGTTTCATTATCATTAATCACCGCATACACACAAACATACATACATACTTTAAAACATGGATTGCAATGAGCAGTTGATTAACATGCAAAAAGAAAAATTTAACTGCTCGTCGGGAATCCCCCAAAGATTAACAATAAAACGATAAAGGTATAATGCTCCCAGCTCCCGTGTGAATCGATTCAAATTTCGATAAATATATTTTCTACATATTCAAAACCGGTTTGTATTTTGTAGATGATAAAACTACAATCTAAATAGCACAAAATTGTATTTATGGTTTTATATGTCATAATGATAAACCAATGAAATTGTGTTAAAGATACAATTACAAATGCATCTGCTATTGTCATCCACCTAAAAAATAAACTTCCCACTTGATGCCCCATGATGCATCACTTGGCACTCTTCCATTGAAGAGACTCTTCGGAAACTTGAGAGCCACTCAAAAGACACTTGGCCGAGACATTGAGACCACAGAAGGGGAGCAGATCGGTGGAGAATATCTCTAGTCGGATTAGTCGCGTCTAGAGCTGAGAGTCGCTAATTGAGTCATTATACGAGGCGGAACGGCGGTAAGCTACAAACCAGTGAAACTGGGTCACATTTTCCGATCATGGGGGTGGCTCAGAACTTAGAACTTGTTTTCCCCTAGAGTGTACAGAGATAAACCGGACTTTTATTTTTCTCTGTGCCACACAAAGCACTGCGAGCCAAGTTCAGACAAAAGCTCAGTATATCTCATGCAGAGAACTCCGATCAAGAAAGATTCGTTGACGGATAATATTTTCCCGACCTGTATTGTGAATATTATCGTATTATAGATCAAAGGGAAAGGTTAGAGGTAGTTGAAACCCATTTACATTCACTTTTTCCACTCTATGAATGAGAGCGCAGCTGTTTTTATACATTTCTTGCGATTGATTCAGACTAGATCGTTCGATTTTCAGGGGAATACAGCTACAGCACCGGTTAAAATAATATCATCTAAATAGTTATAGAACTATTATTTTATTTTTTATTTTTTATTACATTTTTATTTATTCCTCAGTTTCATTTCATTGAAACTTTTTGATGTATTGTGTAGGTTTATTAAAAAATAGTTGATACTATTTATTTTCCCTCAGCTGAATAACCATGAATCGTATACAAGTTTGGGACTCACCTTGGCGGCGGCGAATCCATCGGGATTGCAGGTGGGCAGAAAATGGATTTCGGTGGTGTTCAGGAGGCGTTGCACCTCCTGGTCTGCTACGTAGTGGCTGGCCAGGTACTCGGCCGCATAAAGCACGATCTGGCGGCCCAGGGCCTCGTCGCCTCGTACATTGGCCACCAGCTTGACCATCGGACGCAGCAGATCTCCTTCCTTGCCTTCCGAGGTCGGTGCACTCAGTGACAGGACATGAAGGGGACGATCCTTCAGGGATTTCCCAATCGTATACGTTTGTGCCAGTTCCGGATAATCTTTGGCCAGCTGGGCAAAAAGCTCACCCACTTGGACATTGTCCAGATAGTGGGGATTCTCTAGAAAGTTCTCTGTCTCCTGGATCACCTGCACTTCGCTGTACTCTGCCTCCGCAGAGGCGAGGAAGAGGCACAGGGCCAAGACCAGCACAAGTCTCAGTAACACACACATCATTTATGGGTGAGGGGTTTGTATACACTTTTCGCGGATTTTGTTGTTGCTAATCTACTGCAGACACGTAAGCAGGCGCAAACACAAACACAACAACAACCACAGGCGCAAGCGCGCACGAGAGTAAAGGAGGAATGAATATTTCAGAAAGAACAGGTAAGGTTGGTTAACTATCAAATGCGTGAAATCGGTAAAAGCAACAATTGCTTTCTTTGCCACAAAATAAAAAAAGAAAGAAAAAAACAACTGCAAAAACAAAATGTTGACACGCACACACACACGAGCGCGCACTCACATACACTAGCGGAATGCCGAAACGAACTTGTTCTAAATATTCACTGTTTTTGGCGTTTCTTATTGCCCCGTTGGCACTCGGCGGCGCGCCTTCTTTTGCTTTTGTCACAACTCCACGCCCAACTGCTCCCCTGGCCCCAATTATTACCGAAAACTTCTTTAATTTTACTTCATTTAATAAATTTCACTGAGATCTGTGAAACCTCGACGATACTATCTTTACTATCGATGGACAGGCTTACGGAAGCACTATCGATGAATTTTCGACCGTCACGATATTTCTTTTGCCTGTTCTTAAACTTTTTTTATTTTCATCTTCAAAAAGTGTGGGCCAATTTATTTTCCAGCGGACATAGCTAGATCAACTCGGCTGTTGATGCTGATTAAGAATATATGAATCTGATATAAGACCTACTCTGCTGTCCAAGCTTCTGACTAAAATTATAATAACCGGAAACTATTTAATATGTTTTAATAAAAATACTTGAATACTTTTTATTATTAGAAACAATAAAATAATACCTATAATAATTAAAAAAGAAAATAATAATAAATCTATTTGGAGCGATAATATCGATATCTGAATCGAACTCTGGCCGGAACCTGTCGTGAACCAGTCGCTCTCCAACACATCGGAACCATCTTAATTAGATCCGGATTCAAAATGTTGGCGGGGACTGGACTAAATGTAGATATGTATGTAGTCGCTTAAATAATTAAATTTTAAACGGAATAGCAAAATTGGCATGCATTTCGGGTTTCAAGGCATTCAGAGAGCTTCATAATAACAATTCCTAAATAAAAGTTTCAGATTAAAAATACGCTAGTTCTATGAGCTAAACTATTATTTTATTCAACAAACGACTGTCAAAAAATGTAAACAAAAACACAATAATAAAAATAACCTATGTGTGTGCGAGTACAGCCTAATAATATAATTATTTTTGTTTTATTTTCGGTTAAAAACGTGTCGTATCAAAAACTAGCTCAAATACGATATTATGTTAAGGCAAATTTTGGAAAAGTGCATCAGACATTCGGTTCGTCGTAAAATACGCTATATTCCTATGCTGGGATATACATGTATAAATTACCACCCGACCTACAAGGTGTATGTGTGTGGTGTATTCGCAGCTTTTTTTCGATTTCATAGTGTATACATTATAAAGTAGTCTAAATGCTTGGTGTATATGTGACAGCGATATAGTTACACAGTTGATTGCTTCAGTTTGGACGCTCCTCCATGCTCCTCGCTGCTCGCTCCAGTCAATCCTTCGCTCACATTAACCGCTCATCCCTTCGACACAGTTCCGGCACCTCTCGCAGGGTCCGTCTCTCCCTTTTTGTCCAATCAATAAGTTTCATGGTTTATTCATAAATGTGGTGGCTTCGGCTCCCCTGCTCCTACTGGTTTTTCGCCTCTCGGACTCGCTGCTCCTCCTCCGACACAGGCTTGTTGCCGCTCCAGTTCTTCTGGGAGCTGGCTATCCGTTGTTTGAGTGTGTGAAAGGTCTGCTGCATGCTGCGCATTTGGTAGCGTATCGAGCTGCTGACGTCACGCTGCAGCTGCTGCACCTCGCGAATGTCCTTCCGTAGATTCTGGTACTCGTTGGTCACCTCGCTCATCGACTCGAGCAGCTCCAGCACCTCCATCTCGTCCATTTGCTCCATCGTCGTCTGTTCCAGGCTGCGCTCCACCGCATGCAGCTTATGGGCCATCGTGTACAGCTGCGAGCCCGCATTGGCCACCTTTACCACCAAAAATAATGAACGAATTAGAAAACAAAAAACAAACAGAATGATAATATATCAAAAAGAAATGCTATGATTACTGCTTCTTCGCTTTTTACAATTCAAATCCAAGGGAAGTGCTTATTTTTCCTAAAAAAAACATACACTTACTCATTTTATTTATTTACAAATACCCTTTAAAGGTGTATAAATATAATATGGCATAAAGTATATTGTGATCCAAATGCAATTTTTCTGAAACCATCCATTTTGTACCAAATTTTTTGCCCGCATTTATAATGTTTCCAAAGCTACAGAGTCTTATTCATAGGAAAAAAAAACTGTTCTCAATTAACCGATTTTTTGCAATCGATACCATATTACCATATTATTTACTATACGTCTGATTAAGTCACTGGTGCTATGCACAATTTATTGGCTATTTATAGAAACCCAACAATCCAAGCCCCAAAAATAGACGCCCCGCACGACCCATGATTTATTTAAAGGCTTACCCGTTAAATTTTCTTGCACTGCAGGAAGAAAGCTGGCCTATCCCTATGTTATAATAAGTGGATATGCTATTCATGTTTTGCTGGTCAATTAACTCACAGATTTTTCCAGGGCGCTGATGTCCTGGTAGCCGCCAGTGGTCTCCATCATTGCTCGGTTTTTTGGCTTCCTCTTAGCTTCCGGTTCCTCCTCCTGACATGATGACAATAGCAATAGCTGCTTCAATAAAGATGCAATATTTTTACTGCGCAAAGAGACGCGTTTCGGCCGGAGCTCTGGACTCCAGGCGCCAAGCTCTCCAAACGACGCTGGCAGAGTGAGCGAGTCCTGCGGGCCGTCGTGCTATTTATATGTTCCTAGTCCTGTTCCCGCTTCCATGTACACATGCTCGTTTCCGCTTCCGCGAGAGAGAATGAGAGAGAGAGAGCCACAGTGCTGCCGCCATTCTGTTGCGCCTTAGGGCTCCTTTGGCATGGGTTTTCTCATTTGTTAATTGTTGGTTTCTTCCTACTTTCCTAACGCTTTTTTTAGCTAATATTACTGAGGGGAGTGCGATAGCACGCGAGACACGGCACCTTCACATCCTATTGAAAGCCAAAACAAACACGCTCCACTCTGAAAAGAGAAAGCCTGACGACGACGGCACATGTGTGAGTTGTTTCCTCGGTTATCCTACCCGCGTGTGTTAATCCTGTGAATGGCTGTGAATGCCACGCGCTCTAGGGCAAATACTTTTAATTATATTGACCAGGAAGTGAAAGTCCCGCAAAAAGGGAAAATTAAAATAGAAAACCGAAATTGGAATGTAAAGCGTCTGAGGACACAATGATAAGGCATAGCTGTTTTTGAATGCAGTCGGACGCCAAGTAGGCAGCTCTATTTTCTTTTAACTACGGTATGAACCATTTTAACACAATTTTAAATCAGTAAGAGAGAGCAAAAGCCAATTAGTTCAAAGCGACTGTTTCTAAGCGCCGTTTTAACGGCCTGAACGGAGACACGAATTTAAAAATACTAGAAAGTTGAATGGCGTTAGGAGATTTCTGACGGCATACTTTTAGTATTTCTTAAATATTTTAATAAAACACGCTGTTTTCGACCATTTGTCTCCCCTACATTTACAAACGCATTAATTTCAATTCGGAAAGCGGCAGTATGATAATTTTTAGCAGGTTAACAAAACTGCATACTCAATTTAAAATGTGAATTTTTGGCCGATTTTTGCAAATTTTCAGAAATTTCCCATTTTTCGGAAAAAAGGAAAGGGGTTACATCATGAAAATTTGCAAAATCGGCCAAAAATTCACACTTTAAATTAAGTATGCAGTTTTGTTAACCTGCTAAAAATTAGCTTTATCCGGCCGAAAAAAATTTTTTCTGAAATTTCCCATTTTTCGGAAAAAAGGAAAGGGTTACATCATGAAAATTTGCAAAAATCGGCCAAAAATGCACATTTTAAATTGAGTATGCAGTTTTGTTAACCTGCTACAAATTAACATACTGCCGCTTTCCGAATTAAAATTAATGCGTTTTTGGCTGAGTTATGAGATTTTTAAATTTTGATTTGTCGTAAAATTTCATATAAAAATATTGTTAATATCGGTATAAAAATGGTAATGGACCTTCAGTCAGAAGCTTAAAAATAAGTGAAGGAGCCATTTCCGACCCCATAAATCATATATATTCTTGATCAGCATCTACAGGCCTTTCTTTCTAGCTTTATCCGGCCGAACAAATTTTTTCAGAAATTTCCCATTTTTCGGAAAAAAGGAAAGGGGTTACATCATGAAAATTTGCAAAAATTGGCCAAAAATTCACATTTTAAATTGAGTATGCAGTTTTGTTAACCTGCTACAAATTAACATACTGCCGCTTTCCGAATTAAAATTAATGCGTTTTTGGCTGAGTTATGAGATTTTTAAATTTTGATTTGTCGTAAAATTTCATATAAAAATATTGTTAATATCGGTATAAAAATGGTAATGGACCTTCAGTCAGAAGCTTAAAAAGAAGTGAAGGCGCCATTTCCAACCCCATAAATCATATATATTCTTGATCAGCATCTACAGGCCTTTCTTTCTAGCTTTATCCGGCCGAAAAAAATTTTTTTCAGAAATTTCCCATTTTTCGGAAAAAAGGAAAGGGGTTACATCATGAAAATTTGCAAAAATCGGCCAAAAATTCACATTTTAAATTAAGTATGCAGTTTTGTTAACCTGCTAAAAATTAACATACTGCCGCTTTCCGAATTGAAATTAATGCGTTTTTGGCTGAGTTATGAGATTTTTAAATTTTGATTTGTCGTAAAATTTCATATAAAAATATTGTTAATATCGGTATAAAATGGTAATGGACCTTCAGTCAGAAGCTTAAAAATAAGTGAAGGAGCCATTTCCGACCCATAAATCATATATATTCTTAATCAGCATCTACAGGCCTTTCTTTCTAGCTTTATCCGGCCGAAAAAAATTTTTTCAGAAATTTCCCATTTTTCGGAAAAAAGGAAAGGGGTTACATCATGAAAATTTGCAAAAATCGGCCAAAAATTCACACTTTAAATTAAGTATGCAGTTTTGTTAACCTGCTAAAAATTAACATACTGCCGCTTTCCGAATTGAAATTAATGCGTTTTTGGCTGAATTATGAGATTTTTAAATTTTGATTTGTCGTAAAATTTCATATAAAAATATTGTTAATATCGGTATAAAAATGGTAATGGACCTTCAGTCAGAAGCTTAAAAATAAGTGAAGGAGCCATTTCCGACCCCATAAATCATATATATTCTTAATCAGCATCTACAGGCCTTTCTTTCTAGCTTTATCCGGCCGAACAAAATTTTTTCAGAAATTTCCCATTTTTCGGAAAAAAGGAAAGGGGTTACATCATGAAAATTTGCAAAAATCGGCCAAAAATTCACACTTTAAATTAAGTATGCAGTTTTGTTAACCTGCTAAAAATTAACATACTGCCGCTTTCTGAATTGAAATTAATGCGTTTTTGGCTGAGTTATGAGATTTTTAAATTTTGATTTGTCGTAAAATTTCATATAAAAATATTGTTAATATCGGTATAAAAATGGTAATGGACCTTCAGTCAGAAGCTTAAAAATAAGTGAAGGAGCCATTTCCGACCCCATAAATCATATATATTCTTAATCAGCATCTACAGGCCTTTCTTTCTAGCTTTATCCGGCCGAAAAAAATTTTTCAGAAATTTCCCATTTTTCGGAAAAAAGGAAAGGGGTTACATCATGAAAATTTGCAAAAATCGGCCAAAAATTCACACTTTAAATTAAGTATGCAGTTTTGTTAACCTGCTAAAAATTAACATACTGCCGCTTTCCGAATTGAAATTAATGCGTTTTTGGCTGAATTATGAGATTTTTAAATTTTGATTTGTCGTAAAATTGCATATAAAAATATTGTTAATATCGGTATAAAAATGGTAATGGACCTTCAGTCAGAAGCTTAAAAATAAGTGAAGGAGCCATTTCCGACCCCATAAATCATTTATATTCTTAATCAGCATCTACAGGCCTTTCTTTCTAGCTTTATCCGGCCGAAAAAATTTTTTTCAGAAATTTCCCATTTTTCGGAAAAAAGGAAAGGGGTTACATCATGAAAATTTGCAAAAATCGGCCAAAAATTCACACTTTAAATTAAGTATGCAGTTTTGTTAACCTGCTAAAAATTAACATACTGCCGCTTTCCGAATTGAAATTAATGCGTTTTTGGCTGAGTTATGAGATTTTTAAATTTTGATTTGTCGTAAAATTTCATATAAAAATATTGTTAATATCGGTATAAAAATGGTAATGGACCTTCAGTCAGAAGCTTAAAAATAAGTGAAGGAGCCATTTCCGACCCCATAAATCATATATATTCTTAATCAGCATCTACAGGCCTTTCTTTCTAGCTTTATCCGGCCGAAAAAAATTTTTCAGAAATTTCCCATTTTTCGGAAAAAAGGAAAGGGGTTACAACATGAAAATTTGCAAAAATCGGCCAAAAATTCACACTTTAAATTAAGTATGCAGTTTTGTTAACCTGCTAAAAATTAACATACTGCCGCTTTCCGAATTGAAATTAATGCGTTTTTGGCTGAGTTATGAGATTTTTAAATTTTGATTTGTCGTAAAATTTCATATAAAAATATTGTTAATATCGGTATAAAAATGGTAATGGACCTTCAGTCAGAAGCTTAAAAATAAGTGAAGGAGCCATTTCCGACCCCATAAATCATATATATTCTTAATCAGCATCTACAGGCCTTTCTTTCTAGCTTTATCCGGCCGAAAAAAATTTTTCAGAAATTTCCCATTTTTCGGAAAAAAGGAAAGGGGTTACATCATGAAAATTTGCAAAAATCGGCCAAAAATTCACACTTTAAATTAAGTATGCAGTTTTGTTAACCTGCTAAAAATTAACATACTGCCGCTTTCCGAATTGAAATTAATGCGTTTTTGGCTGAATTATGAGATTTTTAAATTTTGATTTGTCGTAAAATTTCATATAAAAATATTGTTAATATCGGTATAAAAATGGTAATGGACCTTCAGTCAGAAGCTTAAAAATAAGTGAAGGAGCCATTTCCGACCCCATAAATCATATATATTCTTGATCAGCATCTACAGGCCTTTCTTTCTAGCTTTATCTGGCCGAAAAAAATTTTTCAGAAATTTCCCATTTTTCGGAAAAAAGGAAAGGGGTTACATCATGAAAATTTGCAAAAATCGGCCAAAAATTCACACTTTAAATTAAGTATGCAGTTTTGTTAACCTGCTAAAAATTAACATACTGCCGCTTTCCGAATTGAAATTAATGCGTTTTTGGCTGAATTATGAGATTTTTAAATTTTGATTTGTCGTAAAATTGCATATAAAAATATTGTTAATATCGGTATAAAAATGGTAATGGACCTTCAGTCAGAAGCTTAAAATAAGTGAAGGAGCCATTTCCGACCCCATAAATCATATATATTCTTAATCAGCATCTACAGGCCTTTCTTTCTAGCTTTATCCGGCCGAAAAAAATTTTTCAGAAATTTCCCATTTTTCGGAAAAAAGGAAAGGGGTTACATCATGAAAATTTGCAAAAATCGGCCAAAAATTCACACTTTAAATTAAGTATGCAGTTTTGTTAACCTGCTAAAAATTAACATACTGCCGCTTTCCGAATTGAAATTAATGCGTTTTTGGCTGAATTATGAGATTTTTAAATTTTGATTTGTCGTAAAATTTCATATAAAAATATTGTTAATATCGGTATAAAAATGGTAATGGACCTTCAGTCAGAAGCTTAAAAATAAGTGAAGGAGCCATTTCCGACCCCATAAATCATAATATTCTTAATCAGCATCTACAGGCCTTTCTTTCTAGCTTTATCCGGCCGAAAAATTTTTTCAGAAATTTCCCATTTTTCGGAAAAAAGGAAAGGGGTTT